ACCCTTAAAGGGACAATCAACTTGCATTGTTTTTTGAAACTTACACAAAAAACTTTATCAAATAGTATGATTTTTGAAATGGAATGTCCTGAAATTTTAAAAAATGTAAAAATTGAAAAGATGGTTACATTTTTTTCTCATTTCTTTGTTTTAAAATATCTTTAGGGTGAGCTTGAGAGCAGTGCCACCGAAGTTAGGGCCTATCCTTCATCTCCCCTTTCCTTTGTGTACACACCAGCTTTGCTATCTGTTTTGATTTAGCTGGTCTAGTGAAGACCTGCTAAATCAAGTGCAGAGCACTCTCCAGTCAACTCCGGTACTCCACCGTAACAAGAAGAGTAAGGTAAGTCAATGGGAGAGCATCTCCCGTTGATGCAGCGCGGAGTAGACACTGCAGTAAATTGACCTAAGCTACGTCGATTCCAGCTACATAATTCACATAGCTGGAGTAGCGTAACTTAGGTCGACTTACCCCGATAGTGTAGACAAGGCCTCAGTTTCAGTTCTGCTGCTGTTGTCACAATGTGCTTGCAGTTCTTGGGAAGGTATGCAAAATAGTGAAACTGATTAGTATCCCTACACAAAATAAATTGAAAAACGGGGGGAGGGGAGGGATGTGTTTAACATTTGTTGTAGTAATGTTATGGGTGACTTGTAACAACAACAGGGTAAAGTTTTACAATGAAATATATGATTGACAGTGTCCCTTTTTAGATATAAGTTTTCTCAGTTTTTGTATATATTGAATACAGATTGTATTTCAAAGTTTTCTATTTTAAAACCACAAAAGTATAGTTTAAAATTTTTTTGCTCAACTTGCTTTTTTCAGTGACATGTGCCAAGTGATGGAGAAGTACAAATTCAGAGTTGAGCTACTAATAGAGATGGGTGTATTACTGGTGCCCAAGATGGATAGATTAGCACAGACTTTTAGATAGTTTTCAGAGTAGCAGCCATGTTGGTCTGTATTGGCAAAAAGAAAAGGAGTACTTGTGGCACCATTTGTTAGTCTCTAAGGTGCCACAAGTACTCCTTTTCTTTTTAGATGTGAGTGTTGTTATTAAAAATGTTCATCATCTGAGTGGTCAGATAACAGGTTTCAAATATTTGTCCACTATGTTTTTAGTCATCATTGGTGTAACTATGTTAATGAATTGGATTTGTAAGTTCACAAAACATTTGAACAGTAATTTACCAATAAGACGTGAAACAGACTGCAGAGTGTATGAAAAAGCAAAAGCCTGAATAAACAAACAAACAGTCAAAGCCTGAAGATGCTAATTTGACGGATTGGGTTTCAAATTTAAGTAGAGACAATTCATAAGAAGCCTGCCTGTATCGTACGGAAACTGTAGCATTAAGAGATAATACATGTTAATTTCAAGCTGTATTTTGTTGTGCAACGTGGTTACATCTGGAATATTGGCAGTGTTCCTCTAAAAACAGGGGAAAACCTTGTTTTATATGGTTGTGTGACATATCACTAAGTACCAACGAGAGCAAGCATTTTAAAGGAAAATGATAGGCTTATGAAAATGAATGTCTGCTTATGCCTATAAATAAACATAAATGGTTAGCAGCTACACCCATAACAATTGGACTTGAGTCATAACAATTGACTCAAGACTGGCTCACAGTATCTAAAGACCTATAGAACTGTGGTATGTATTTGATCAAATTTACAGAAGTTAAAAAAAACAAAAACAAAAAAACAGGTGGCCAGGAGCCAAGTCTGGGTGAATACAGATGTTGTTCTAAGGGATTTACTGTATGTTGCTGACAACACATGACCAGGATAATCGGGTGTTGTGGACTTTATGGAATGTGGCTGAAGGTTTCAAGTAAACATAAACCAAACTTGACTGTAGAACATAAACTTTTCTGTAGCTGGATAGATGTTGAAGATTTATTCTCTGAACATGAGAGAATATAGAATTAGAGGCTTCTGTTATATTTAATACAAAAGTTTAATAATTTTTACAATAATATATATATCCCAGTAACTTCATTTTTTTTATCTTAATTCTAGATTCATACACTCTAAGCCCACATGCACACTGTCATAGTTTCAAGGTAACTGCATGTGTATTTCCACCCCCATAGTCCACTCCAGGAGTTCCCAGTCAGGTCTGAGGTCTCCAGCTGTCACCTGTGTGACTCTTGTCCCACTCCTTTCACACAGGAAGTGGTAAGGCTTCACAGCTTGCCTGACACTGATATCCACAGCAAGCCAGTCTGTGTAAAGGTCAGCCCCTGTGCATTGCTTTCTCTCTCCGAGGGCTATGAACAGTGTATCGCCAGCAGTTACAAGTTACCACGCAGCTCTTTCTAAGCAAGCACACTTCTTCCTAAGGTCAAAGCATTACAGAGACAATACACAAAAAATCCTAATAAACAGATTTAAACACACACTAAACGTATCAGGAGTCTGTCCTCAGTCTTCTGGGGTGCTTGTAGGCCAAAGTCTTCCAATCCTTCTGCCAGTGTCCTGATGGTTTGCTGGACCCCAAAGAAGGCCTTGAGTCAGTTCAAGCTCATCCTATTATGCCAAAAACCCTTTCTTTGTCTCTTTCTCTGGAAAATCCAGGTTGGATCAGTGTGTATATATAAGCCTCTGAAGGGAGCCTCTCTAGAATTCCACCCCATACGGCTAAATTCAGTGGAATTGTTTCGTCTCAGTGACTCACCTTAATTACCCCCTACTGTTTTTAGTTTCTGGAGAAGTTGTGGTAACCCTCCCCCACACGTGAACAATCATACATAGACTATTTGTAGATTTAATACAACAGGCCAGCAAAAATATTTCATGGGGTTGCAATATCTGTGTCACACACATTCTAAGATATAGATGTTAGATATCCTCTAATCTTGATAAGATTCCTCAGAGTTCAGTCTTTTTTTATAGAAACACTTTGTCTTAATTTTTAATCATTTTCCCCTTGAAAAACAATACATATTTTAAAGTGAATTCTACTTTGAGAAAAGGCTATGTATAAACAGCATCACCTTACTCCACAAATCTGTTTCCTGTGTTTTATTCAATCATATCTGCTTGCATTAGTGTGTGTTTTTTTTTTTAAAGCCACTACTGCCTGCCATGCAGAATCAGCACAGTACTGAGAGAATGAATTGTCATTGTTCTTTCTGGCTTTAATGTCAATATAGAATGACTAAGTTGCAGTTGTCTGTGCAACAATGTTGTCTTCAAATTATGCTTCAAATTATTCCTCTGCAACCACAGTGAAGATGAGTTGCACCAGATATACCTGAAAGAAAAATTTTGTCTTGCAGAGTCTCCTTATTAGAATCCAGAAAGGACATAGCCTGACTTCTAGGTCCTGGGTTGAGTTTGTAGGTTTTGCAATTAGAAGTATCACATATTTAGGGGGAAATCATTGATTTTTTAGCATGTTAACTGAGCAAAATGGATGTGGAATAAATGAGAAACATTAACAATGGCCGGGAGAGGGGAAGATGGGGATAGGTTCAGTATTTTGGAGAAAAACAAAACATGGAAGTGACTAAATATGTCAGTGACCAGCTACCCTGATTATTTTGTATGTTGTATTTCCTCTGTCCTATTTCATCTGCTCTGTGTCTTCAGATGTAAGTTGAGGGATGCCTTCCTGTGTGTCTACTATGCCCAGCACATTTTGGGCACTACTGTAGTATTACAAATTTCACTATCCTAGATACATTATATTTCAATACATCCTCTAATGGAAGTGGAATCTGAGAAATGAGACTGTTGTGCTATAATTAGGTGAAACTTTCTATATCATGAGGACACTTAGAAATACATTTGAATATAATTTCAAATACTGAGTGTAATTAAAACCAAAGAAGTATACATTTTTTAACAGTTAGCTGTTTGTGGTGATCGAATGTTTGTAAGATGTAAAGATGTTTTTTCAAAGTTATTAAAATAATTGGCTTTTAGAGCTAAATAATATTTTCATAAATATGTTCTTTGGGGCTGTGCCACTAGCCAGTGGGAGAGGACCTCCTACATATAAGTTTCTCCCTTTTTGCACATAACACAGTTATTCACAGTGGTCTCTGAATGTTATAGGTATAGAAGTTCCTCTAGCCTAGTGGTTTTCAATCTTTTTCATTTGTGGACCCCTAAAAAATTTCAGATGGAGGTACAGACCCCTTTGGAAATCTTAGACATGAAAACCACTGCTCTAATTCAAGAGGGTGGGAAGGGAAAAATTTATGAGTTATCCTTTCATTTAAGGTGTACTTTCGTACCCTTCATGGGTGTTTTTATATGTTTATTTGAAATCTGTTTCCAGTTTAATGATTACTGGTTAGCAGGTTATTTTTGGATAATGGCCAAAGAGTAGATCATATACCAGAAGTATACTTTTACAAACTCTGAAACTCTAGAGATGACTGAAGCATATCTCTTTAATGTGTGAATGTATGTTGAGTGGAAAGGAAGAAACTGGCAACCGGAATGGATCTGTCTGTCAGACTTGGTGGAATCCACAAATCTGATTTATAATCTATATAATAGAAATTATCTAGTATTAAAGTAGTTATCCAGAATGAAGATTAATTCGGTATATAAAAATATTGTGTTGGGCCTATTCAGAAAGTCCAAATCCAGGCAAAATTCCTATTTAATTCAGTTGCTATTGTACGTGGTGAGTAACTCTGTAAATTAAGCACTTCTTTAGGTGCCTAACTTAAGGAATCCAAGTTTGAAAATTTTGGCCTTAGATATTTAGCCTTTTCAGATGCCTGTGTTTTTGCATAACAAAGGGTGCATTTTGAATTCAAGACATAATCTAAAACTGTTTCCAGAGATCATTTGGACAGAGATTACAGTCAAAGTTATTTAATCAATAAGGCGTACATATGGGTGTAACTACTTAATACTAGAAATCAGTGTTTCATGTTCTCATTTTATATACACTGTTTGGATTAAAAATAACAAATTAAAGTTTATATACAGTTGGTCAGATTTTTATACAGTTTTTTTTTTCTTACAGGAATAGTGAATAGCTCCAATGATGGAGGACGGGAAGCCTGTTTGGGCTCCCCACCCAACTGATGGGTTTCAGATGGGGAATATCGTGGATATTGGCCCTGACAGCTTAACTATTGAACCGTTAAACCAGAAAGGCAAGGTAAGAAAGGGCTTAAGGAATACTTAAAGAACTATACCATCACATAGTTCTATGCATAGAGCACAACAATGGGAGTCAATTTCGCTTTGTCTGACTTGAGCAATTCACTTAACATTTCCTTTGCCTCAGCTTCCTCAGGTACAAAGAAAAATGATTATAATATTGAATTCTGCAATACTGGCTCCCACTGGCAAGAAACACACAGTTTCTGGTTGTCAGATTTCCATGTGTCTGAAGTATCTATAGTAAGTAACTGAATATGTGTGTATCTTTCTGTGCAGTGTTACTTTTCCCATATTGAGGCTGGCTCAGGATCTGTCTTAGAGATGATGCCTCTCTAGTCACAGGTCAAGAGGTGACAGAGCAGACCTTCCTTTTCTGGGGGACATGGGTATATATCTTAGGAAGAAACCTGAATAGGAAGCTGGTCATCTTTGCTTGATAAAAATATAAGCAAAGTGTAATGCCATCTGATGTCATTCTTCATCATGCTAAGAGCCACAGATAGATACAATGGGCACCTCAGCCTGTTTACACCTTTGAGCCAGAACCAGAACTTTCAGGTTGGAGTATACTGCGTATTGTGAAATTACTCGTAAGAAGTCTGCAAATGACCTAGATAAATTATCTATATATCCTTTCTCATCTACCCTGGAAAGTTTTAATAGGGTTTTCTTGTCACTCCTATGAGCCTGGGAAAGCATTAGGCTGTTGGCTGCAGCTGGCACTGCAGGTCACCATGCCCTAAATTATTGACCATCATTCTCAGTGGCTGCTGTGGGACACAGTGCCCTAATATCCAGGTTATTGCTCCAAGCTTCTGTTGCAGGATTTTAAGCCTTGCCAGCACCACCACCTCTTCCCCTCACAGATGAAAGTAGATGCAGAGGAACCAGAAGGCCTTGAGGGGCCTCTTGGTTCACTGTTTTTCTTTCTACCACACCCTCTGCCGGCCTTCATTCTTTAAGGCTAGAAGTTTCCTCAGTGTGCACTGGTCAATATTTAACTTGGTATCATCACCAAAGTTAAATGGGAGTATTTTCCACAGGGGACAGGGACTCAGAATTTCTAATTGTGGGAGATTTTTTTTACCTGAAAGAGTGGCCTCCTCAATATGTGGACACATCACTGGCAGCCCAGTCCAGGCAGGCATTATCTGAGCCCCTGATTTGCCATGGAAACTCTCAGGTAGCCTCAGGCCAGCAAGAATGAATAAACAAACAAATGTGAATTGTTATCTGATTCCTAAGTAACTCTATGTGCTTTCACAAGCAGTACTAGCATGGGTGGACAGTATTGTGAGTATGGTGCCTCTTGGCCTAAAAATTACATGTCCTACAGACTTCTCTTTGGAAAGAGAAGAATAAAAAAGTGTCCTTCAAATATGTTTCATGCAGCTATATGGGGCTTTGGTTCTTGGGATCAAATACTCAGGGAAATCAGTTCTGAGCTATCTTAGTGGTACAATAAACTTTATGGAAAGCTGCGGCTATTCAGAGCCAACAGAAAATTCAACTTATGATCTTGACTCCTGACACACATTATGGAAAGGAATACAAGTCATGTGACAAGTTGAAGCAGTCTGTGAAGTACATAGGAGAAAATATCTCTTTGCAAGTGGTAGCAGGATCATTAGCTACTCATTATTGCCTCAGAGCTGTCTGCCAAATGGCTCTGTCTGGAGTTAGACCCTAAATTGGTGCCAGGCTCTTTCAGTTTGGGAGCAAAAGGGCTACCTATAGGTTTGATCAAATGAGCTCACTGGCACTTGTGAGGAGGGACCCTATAAAGCTGTGCAAAAATTTCAGGAGCAACTTTGTCCCATTCCCAATCTCAGCAACCTGGAAAGACCATGACATGAATGAAGTAATCCAAAATCTACTTCAGATTGGAATACTGCCACCTGCTCCCAATGCTATTTCTAGCCTCAGAGAATCGGGGACAAGCAGAGCAGAGCCCTGTCTGAAACATCTAAGTAAGTTCTGAATGGAGGCTTGTCTTCAAAGCATTCCCATTTTATTATCCTCAGGCAATTCTTGTGTTTTGCAGATGGATGGCAGCTGTTTTCTTTTCCCAACTTCAAATATTACCATACTATTTTACATGTGCTCCCAAGGTCTCTCTCCAGGATCTTGGTAGGAATTATACTGGCTTTAGAAAAGAAGAAAATTCATGTATCTCTTCCTGGACAATTTTTCTGATCTGGGCTCTGGATGACAGAGAAAACTGTAGCAAACACATGGAGTGATAAGAAAAGGAGGACTTGTGGCACCTTATAGACTAACAAATTTATTTGAGCATAAGCTTTCGTGAGCTTCAGCTCACTTCATAGGATGCGTTCAGTGGAAAATACAGTGGGGAGATTTACAAATCTGCACACACACATCCCTGGAACCCCAGCCAGAGGTATTGTGTCTGCTACCCAAGATCCATAAACCTGGAAATCCTGGACGCCCCATCATCTCAGGCATTGGCACCCTGACAGTAGGATTGTCTGGCTATGTAGACTCCCTCCTCAGACCCTACACTACCAGGACTCCCAGCTATCTTTGAGACACCGCTAACTTCCTGAGGAAACTACAATCCATCGGTGATCTTCCTGAAAACACCATCCTGGCCACTATGGATGTAGAAGCCCTCTACACCAACATTCCACACAAAGATGGACTACAAGCCATCAGTATCCCCGATAATGTCACGGCAAACCTGGTGGCTGAACTTTGTGACTTTGTCCTCACCCATAACTATTTCACATCTGGGGACAATGTAGACCTTCAAATCAGCGGCACTGCTATGGGTACCCGCATGGCCCTACAGTATGCCAACATTTTTATGGCTGACTTAGAACAATGCTTCCTCAGTTCTCATCCCCTAATGCCCCTACTCTACTTGTGCTACATTGATGACATCTTCATCATCTGGACCCATGGAAAAGAAGCCCTTGAGGAATTCCACCATGATTTCAACAATTTCCATCCCACCGTCGACCTCAGCCTGGACCAGTCCACACAAGAGATCTACTTCCTGGGCACTACGGCGCTAATAAGCGATGGTCACATAAACACCACCCTATACCGGAAACCTACTGACTGCTATGCCTACCTACGTGCCTCCAGCTTTCATCCAGACCACACCACACCACATGATCCATCGTCTACAGCCAACCTCTACGATACAACTGCATTTGCTCCAACCCCTGAGACAGAGACAAACACCTACAAGATCTCTATCAAGCATTCTTACAACTGCAATACCCACCTGCTGAAGTGAAGAAACAGATTGACAGAGCCAGAAGAGTACCCAGAAGTCACCTACTACAGGACAGGCCCAACAAAGAAAATAACAAAACACCACTAGCCATCACCTTCAGCCCCCAACTAAAACCTTTCCAACGCATCATCAAGGATCTACAACCTATCCTGAGGGACGACCCATCACTCTCACAGATCTTAGGAGACAAGCCAGTCCTTGCTTACAGACCAGCCCCCCAACCTGAAGCAAATACTCACCAGCAACCACACCCCACACAACAGAACCACTAACCCAGGAACCTATCCTTGCAACAAAGCCCGTTGCCAACTGTGTCCACATATCTGTTCAGGGGACACCATCACAGGGCCTAATCATATCAGCCACACTATCAGAGGCTCGTTCACCTGCACATCTACGAACGTGATATATGCCATCATGTGCCAGCAATGCCCCTCTGCCATGTACATTGGTCAGACTGGACCGTCTATGTAAAAGAATAAATGGACACAAATCAGACATCAAGAATTATAACATTCAAAAACCAGTTGGAGAACACTTCAATCTCTTTGGTCACTCGATTACAGACCTAAAAGTGGCAATTCTTCAACAAAAAAACTTCAAAAACAGACTCCAACGAGAGACTGCTGAATTGGAATTAATTTGCAAACTGGATACAATTAACTTAGGCTTGAATAAAGCTCTCCTGCTTGTAATAGCTCACCTTACCTGATCACTCTCGTTACAGTGTGTATGGTAACACCCATTATTTCATGTTCTCTGTGTATATAAATCTCCCCACGGTATTTTCCACTGAATGCATCTGATGAAGTGAGCTGTAGCTCACAAAAGCTTATGCTCAAATAAATTTGTTAGTCTCTAAGGTGCCACAAGTCCTCCTTTTCTTTTTGTGAATATAGTCTAACATGGCTGCTTCTCTGAAACATGGAGTGATGTGGTTCCTGGAGTATCTTTGATTCAGGGCAAACACAAGTATATGGTGCCAGGGAAGCCAGTCATAAGCCTGAACTGAGAATGAATCTATCAGGTAAAAGATCTTATCTCAGAAGAATGTTAACAGAAGATGAAGATGGCCATAATAGAAAGTGGTGTCAAAGAGACGCAAATCTAATTCCTGTTGGTTCCTGTTGGGATTTCTGGTCTGATACACAGGCATGCTTCAGTGATCCAGAGTTCATATGATACCTATCCAGTAATTCTCTGTATCCCTTCTGTATTGCTACTTCATCCATTGGCAGATCTGTATTTTCTGCTCTTACAACTGGTGAATGCAGAGAATCATGGTTTTGGTTTTGTTTCTGTTTTACACATCTTCCCAGTTCAGTTCAGGGTATGTGTAACAGATGGAGACAGCACAGCATCCATCAGCTAGAACACAATGATTCATTGAGGCCTCAGTCCATAGCTCCTTCCATGGATAACAGACCAGTTCTGGTCATGACACCCACCCCTTGGAAAATGGACTTTCTTTCTTTAGTTATGGGGGAAAAAGCCCAGTTCTCACAGCCATGTGCTTTGAACAGGGGGTTTCCTGCTCTCTACTCCCAAGACAGACTCCTCTGCAGAGGCCATTCAGAGGCAATGGCCCTGGTAGTAGCAATTCCACTGTATCCCAACGGGAGAGCCATTCAATGCTGATGGCCTTTGAGGGTTCTGTTATGGCTTTCCAGACAGCTTCCTCACTACATGTCAAGTTCCTACTACAAAATGGCTGATATAATAATCCATGTGACTGTTACAATTACCAATAGAATTCATAAAACGAAATGGAATTCATAACTGGACCAGACAGTCTTCCCCACACCATTTCACTGCCTATCAATGGGGAGATTAACACCAAAGTTTATTGGGCAAAATCAGATTTGCAGAGTGACTGGTGCTCTCCGAAATGCATTGCTCATTGCAGGTCAGTTTGGTGGGCTTCTGACTGCCCTTTTTGCATATGGAAATAGTAAATAAAGTGCTCTACAGCCTCTCTGTCAGGAACTTGGATTTGGGGTGGTGAGTGGCATCTTACAAACCTGGTCTAGCTCCCTAGTACATATATCTTCCCACTTTTCCCAGAGCTCCTCAGGACATTACAAAAGAGGGGTGAGGGAGCAGCAGTGATACCTATTTAGATCTTTCTGGATAAAGAGATTAATCAAGCCCAAGAGCTATAATCTAGTGTTGGCTCCTTGGATGCCTCTGTCATACAGAGGAGGTGAGCTAATGCAAGACTGGTAGTCCATCAGAGACCAAACTTGGTGACAATAAATACTTGAATTAAGTGATTATTGCTTTCAGGGACCCCAAAGGAGGAGGCAACAAATACAGCTTATTCTACTGCCTGGTGCAAAGTCCATATTTAATTATAATGATATACCAGTGACATGCAACCTTGAGTTCTTACTGGAAGGCTTTGTTGTGGGTGTATGAATGTTGAAGCAAAAAGGTCAAGGCTCTGTAGCCTAATGTTCTTAAAATGTTAATGAAAAGGAAGTTTTATACAAATCTCAACGTTAAATGCTTCCTTAGGGCATTGCTTTTATTCCAGCCCTACGAGGTCATAGAGCATGGCCTTGGAACCTCATTCTGCTCCTTAGAGCACTACCCAGAATGAACCTCTCTGCAGGAGGTGATGTTACACTTCCTATCCATTAGAGTAGGACTCCTAATTGCTACTATCTCCAATCAGACACGTTTTTGCTTTTGTTTTTTTCATTTAAAGTTGGAAGCTTCCTCTAACAGGACCCAATATTATACTTTTAATTCAGTCCTCAAAATTGTCACAGCATTCATTTCCTAAGTACATTCAAGACTTAAGCTTCTTTGGTTAAGTATCATAGTCCAGCACTTAGGAGCTGAAAATCTGAGGGCAGTGTTTTCATATCTCTAATGTAGAAACCTGCTAGATGGCCAACAAAGCAGAAGTTCACCAAATTCTGCATATTGGTCATTCAGTCCTAGCGAATTTCCTTTTTTTGGCAGAATTCTTATCCGTGCCTTAGTGCACATGGTTTGGTGGAGGAGGTATTTGTTTACCTTGTTTTGTATCAGAGGGGTAGCCATGTTAGTCTGGATCTGTAAAAGCGGCAAAGAGTCCTGTGGCACTTTACAGACTACCAGATGTATTGGAGCATAAGCTTTCAGGGGTGAATATCCACTTTGTCAGATGCATGTCCTTGTTTTGGTTTTCCACATTTAAAGGATGATCGTGCTTCCCATCCTGGAGGCACAAAGCTATGAAAGCTCCATTTTAATAGATTTGTGGACTTTAGCATGAAGAGAAACAGGAAACTGTATTCATGCTTTCCTGAAAACTTCCTTTCTTTGGGTAATTAAGTGCTCAGATCTGTCCTACCCTGGAGACAAATAGATCATCCAGATTAGAGATGGAAATTGACACTTGTGGTTTTTGTTTTTGTTTTGTTTTGTTTTTTGTTATGTGGGATTTACAATGCTCTCAATAAGAGAAATTGTTGTGCTTTTCCTTCAAAGTATATTTAACATAATCAGTAATTTAGGAATGTAGATTTCAATTTTTTCTGACTGTGAAAGTTTTCAATTGAGGAGAATTTCAGGAGGCTGAGTAGTTCTCTGCTACCAGTGACTGACAGGGCTGGTTTTGCCCCCAAGATTCAAGCAGGCTGAAAGGAAACATGCCGGGAGAAAGAGGGGACTCCAGCTCACTCGGCCCCTGTCCCCAGCATCCGGGTCTGGGAGGGGGTTAGCCTGCTGCTGCCACCTCAGCCAGGCTCTCTCAGGCAGCTGCTGGACTGCACAGAGCAGCGACCCAGAGTGGTCTGCATGAGAAGTGACTGGTCTTGCCCCTTCTGCTCCTGGCCCAGCTGCCAGGGACAGGGGCTGAGCGTGCTGCAGGGGGAACCCTTTTCCGTCCCTCCTCCTGCAGCAGACCAAGCAGAAATCTGGGGGAGGAGGCAGTTGATCTTGTATATTCCTCCCCCTGGCCATGTGTTGCCTATGAAAGGGCTCTCTATGGCTGCAACATGCTTCACTGAACAACATTTGTATCTAGCAACTATATAGATTTCCCAAGGAGGTCTGGCTAATCTAGATTCTGACCATCTCCAAGGCAATGTGTAGCCCCTTCTTTAGAATGTTTTAGCACATAACACTAATGAGAGATAGGAGGGAAAAAAAGGGAGTGGCAGGACAAGGAGTGTATAACCCATGAAGAGTCTCTATACCAGGGAAGGAAATCATGGAAGCTTTTTTACTATTTTCCAACTGGCAACACTTAGTTTATAAAAAGAAAAGGAGTACTTGTGGCACCTTAGCGACTAACCAATTTATTTGAGCATAAGCTTTTGTGAGCTACAGCTCAAGTGAGCTGTAGCTCACGAAAGCTTATGCTCAAATAAATTGGTTAGTCGCTAAGGTGCCACAAGTACTCCTTTTCTTTTTGCGAATACAGACTAACACGGCTGTTACTCTGAAACTTAGTTTATAGACGCTTTAATGCTTCAGTTTAAGAAACCTGGCACTTCAAAAGGGGCTGCTTAACACTGTGTGCAATTTTAGATTGTGTGACCTACACTGTATTGTTTCTATTGTACTGAAGTAAGAGGGTGTCTTAAACTGGTACAGAAAACATGATGTTTATCATGAGGGTGTCTCACTGAACAAAGTTTTAAATAGACAAACTTGCTTAAAATGTTAAGATCATTGCTTCTGATAGACAAAGATCTTGTTGCTTGTCTTTTTTGCCATTTTAGATAAAGTAGACGAATCTCACTGCCTGAATCCCCATCCCCTCATGGAAATTAGCTTTGTAGCAGCATAGCAGCTGCTTCAGCATAGCAGCTGTAACATTAATTGATACAACAAGGTTCATAGCAGCTGCTACAGCATAGCAGCTGTAACATTAATTGATACAACAAGGTTCATTCATAGATAGCTACAATTCTCTAATGTAAATAACCTGTGCATGCTGTATAGACCCAGATAAAATGTCTGAACAAAAGTGTGTCATTTGTTGAAAAATGCAATAGATGTTTGTACACTGTGGACACTCCGATAGATCTATTCTTGCATGTTTCTCTTTCCTTTAAAAAAATATAAATTACAGTTTCTGGAGTATTAAAGAGACAAGTTTGCTTTCCGTTCCAGTAAGTGATGAACACTGGCTAAGTGGTTTTCTTTTGTAACTGAAATACAGGATTAAAGGAAGTGCTTGTAAAATCAGAAGTCAGTGTTTGGGAATATACTGTGTTTTACTATTTATATAGCTAATGTAGTATATTTTACAATGGGAATGTGTTTAAATGGGTTAGGAGTACTAAAGCATGCTTGAGGGTACTATGCTAGGAATCGGGAGACTTGGATCTTATTCCTGGAGCTGCTATTGACTTGCTGTATAACTCTGAATAAGTCCAATTCTTTTTGAGTCTGTTTCCTTTGAATAAAATACATATAACTGTGTTACTGTTTTCTGTAATGCCCATCACTGATGCATCTAAATATGTGGGGATAGTGCTTACCTTTAAAGCACTTAGCATTTTTCATCCATAGATCCCTAAGTATTAGTAGCAGTAATGCAGTTGAGACTACGATTGCTTTCTTTACCATTAGCATCCCTCCATTTGTCTAAATCCGAGAATGGTAAATGCTCTTGATCGGGATATATCTTTGTTTGTATGATACCGATTATGATGAGGCCCAAATCTTTGATCAGTGTCCTTAGGAGCAACTGCAGTAGAAGTACATTGTTGCGGTGGTTGGGTGAACACACTAAAACCTGCCACAGTAAAATATGGAAATGGCAAATTTTCACTTTTTCTTAACTCAAATAATACACTTATTTAAAACATAGCTCACCATATCTTAGAGCTGCTTTCCCATTCTGCAGTTTAAATTCTGAAAATATCAATGTTTTTATCTGACAGACTTTTCTGGCTGTTATCAACCAAGTGTTTCCTGCAGAAGAGGACAGTAAAAAGGATGTGGAGGATAATTGTAAGTACTGTATTTTAAAATGTGTGTGTGTGTGTATGTATAATAGCAAGGATCCATTTGTTTTGTAACCAGATCTCTACTTTTCTTTGTTTGTTTGCTTGAAGTTGCACATAATATTTATAGCAATAAAGATCCATTTAATGCAGGGATCTCAAACTCGAATCACCAGGAGGGCCACATGAGGACTTGTACATAGGCCCGAGGGCCGCATCACTGACACCCTCTGCCTCTGACCCCGCCCCCACTCCACCTCTTCCATGAGGCCCGCCTCTTCCAACCCCTTCCCCAAAGTCCCCACCCCAACTCCGCCCCCTCCCTGCCCCTATTCCAACCCCTTCCCCAAATCCCCACCCCTGCCCTCCCTCTTCTCCACCTCCTCCCCTGAGCACGTGGCTCCCCGCTCCTTCCTGGAAAGCGCTAAGTGCCTGGAGGTAGGCAGAGGAGCGGGGCTGCAGCGCGCTGGGGGGAGGAGGAATGTGGGGGGGAGGGGAGCTTGGTGGCCCACAGGAAATAACTCTGGGAGGGTGTGGGGGCGGCACAGGGCGCTTGGCGGGCCGCAGGAAATAACCCCACGGGCCATGTGTTTGAGACCCCTGCATTAATATATCCTATGTCTAAACCAATTTTAAGAGGTAATTGTACCTTACATATATTGCTGTTCTCAATTCTCAAGTAGGCATGCAAAAGCAGAATGTTTCATTCCCGTGTGTGAGCTGCAGTACTCTTATAAAACTGTAACAAAACTCTTGTCAATTTGATTTACATGTGTTAAATCACATGTGCGTCATAGTACAGTAGTGACACAATTCTTCTGTTTAATGGACAGAGCTACATGCAGCAGTGCAGGGCTTGATTCAATCTTTTGATCTGTGTTGAAAAACTACCTGTTTTGTCAGACAGAACTCAAGTTTGGGGGTAGTAATGGAAGAGGGATGCTGTATACCCAAAATGTTAAGGCTGTTGTATGCTTCTGTACTTTTCCTCCTCCTTTAAACTGGCAGCAGTGGCGAGAATTTTGTTGTTGCCTTATGCAATCTCATCTGTCTGCAGTGTGGCTTATTTCCTGGGGAAAAAAAGAAAACCTGAAGAAGTTGTCTTTTTAAATTTTGCTTCCCAGGGACCATTGGCCTGAACGTTTAAGATTGCCTTTTACATGGTCACCAAAACTAGCTTCTGCTGTTCTTAATATAAAATACATAGAGGGTGAGATTTTCAAAAAGACTACATGACTTAGGACCACAAGTCCCGTTGAAAGCAATAGCATCTACTTCCTGTGACTGAAGCTAGATATGTAGCCACTCTGCAACAATGAGGAAAACAAGATTTGAAACTTGTGATATCGTGCACAGTATAGGGTCATTATAGGCAGCACTGGTAGCTAACATTTTCTGTTAGAAGGTTGTCTTTTCAGTTGCTTATAATTTTACCCAACTCTTAACTATTTGGGCTGAAATTTTCCGTGCTGGGTGTCTGTCTCAGGCTTATTTTTATTTATTGATTGATTTTAAAGTATCAAATAAATAATTGAGCAGTTTCTGAGAACAAGGCTAGGGAAAAATACTTTGCTTGTGTTTTTAAAAAAATTGTTCACTGCCATTTCACTGAGATGCTCTACCACCTCAGTTTTTTGGAGCAGGAACTTGATGTTTTGTAAGGGGGTTACCCCGTGGTATCAGGGATGTGCATTTTACCATCTCTGTGAAAATCCGCCCCATTTTGGTTGGGTTATAAGCATCTAAATATAAATTCTCATATTTATTTAGTTGTTTATTTTATTTGGCATATGCAATCTGGTCAAGCCAAGCCATAGCGTTCTTATCAACAATGTTCAAGGCATGAAGACCTCTAGGAAGTTGAGTCATTTTGCAGTCCTCAACAATGTGTGTCATGGTTTGTGGCTGCCCACATTGACATAGTGGCCTCTTGTATACTCAGTGGAGACTTGTTGGAGTTTGGCAACTAAATTCTCCAAAGATTCCATCTGCAGTGAGCATGCTCCATCTCTACACATCTCCTAGCCGTTGCCTGGACTGCACATTGAGCTATCTCCACAGAGCAAGTGAGCTATCTGGACTGCAAGGGATGAGCAGTACTTTCCCTAAAATTTCTTCTCATGAATGTTGGGAGCTGATTGTCTCTCCTGTGCCTTCAGTGCCTCCCTGCTTGTGCCCAGGCAGTGTGGAGGAGAAAGAGGAAGCATCCATGTTGAGATAGCAGTGGGAGGCAGACTTGTTGAAAGTCTCTGTTAAGGATAGAAGCAGTAAAAAATGAGGGTATTGTAGGGTTCTATAATAGACCACCTAACCAGGAAGGGGAGGTGGATGACACCTTTTTAAAACAACTTAACAAAATCTTCCAAAACAGAGGACTTGATGGTGATGGGGGACTTCAACTACCTGGACATCTGTTGGGAAAATAATACAGCATGACACAGATTATCCAACAAGTTCTTGGAATGCATTAGTGACAACTTTTTATTACAGAAAACGGAGAAAGTGACTAGCAAAAAGGCTATTCTGGATTTGATGTGGACAAACAGGGAGGAACTTGAGTGAAAGTGAACATGAAATGATAGAGTTCATGATTCTCAGGAATGATAGGAGGAAAACAGCAGAATAGAGACAATGGACTTCAAGAAGGCAGACTTTAGCAAAGTCAGGTAATTGGTAGGTAAGATCCAATGGGAAGCAAGTCTAAGGGAAAAAAGAGCTCAGGAGAGTTTGCAGTTTTTTAAAAGAGACAATAAAGGCACAAAAGCAAACTATCCCAATGCGTAGGAAAGATAGGAAATATGGTAAAAGGCCAACCTGGCTTAACCAAGAAATTTTCAATGACCTGAAACTCGAAAAAGAGTCATACAAGAAGTGGAAACTAGGTCAAATTACAAAGGATGAACATAAAAAAACACAACAAGCATGAAATTAGACGGGCCAAGGCACAAAATGAGATTAAATTAGGTAGAAATATAAAGGGTAACAAGAAAACAATTTACAAATACATGGGAAGCAAGAGGAAGTCCAGGGACTGGGTAGGCCCATTACTGAATGAGGAGGGAAAAACAATAATAGAAAACACAGCAATGGCCAAACTGTTAAATGCATTTTGTGTTTCAGTTTTCAGCAAAAAAGTTAGCAATGACTGGGTGACTAACATAGAGAACATCAGTTTAATGGGGTAGGATCTGAGTCTAAAATAGGGTAAGTTAAGAATTACTTAGACAGGTTAGATGTCTTCAGGTTGGCAGGGCCTGATGAAAGAAACTATCTGAAGAGATCTCTGAGTCATTAGTTATTATCTTTGAGAACTTGTGGAGGACTTCAGTAAGGCTTTTGTTACTGTATCACATGACCTTCTCATAAACAAAATTTAAGAATAATAACCCCTTGAACTGGAACAACAACCCTTTGATGGGAAAAGAGATTTTAATTCATTTTAGGGACAAAACAAAATCCTTTATCCTTAGCCACAATTTTATAAAGATCCTAAGCTTGCTCTCTTCCCTTCAAAGAACTTTTTCTGACTTAGCAGTATATTGTAAAGATGCAGAAATAGGAGAAGATTGTTTCCCACTATACTTTCTTTCATTTTGAGGGGTCTCTCCTTTCATAGTCAGGGGGTTATAAATTTCCACATACTCAAGAAATTAACTTGTCCCACAAGGTTAGAATCTGAATTATACTCCTGGGAGAAATCAGAAGAGGAAGACACTTCACCATGAGTGTAGAAAAAAGTTGTTTATTTGGCTGATTTTTCTCTCCCCATCCAAGTATAATCCCCCTGGAGGGGAAAAGGATAAAGAGTTTGGTAGGATGGAACATATGGATGAGAAATAAATATCTAATTTAAGTACCTGATTGTCCAGTTCAGTAAGAACCCCTCAGGTGGTGATCTCAGGAGGAGAGAAATTAGTATGAGCAATAAGATGAGGAACAATTTGAGGGATTTGCAGGCCAGAGCGAGCTTCTGCTCAGGATAAAGCCTAAGTATTTCCTTCATTGACCTTACCTTAGAAGACTTAGATGTGTAGGAAAGGAGTTTTCCTTCTGCTAGTATCTATTCATATCCTCCCATAGCGAAAGATGCCCTCCCTAAGCAGTCCACGTGTTCAAGGCCTATTTGGAGATATATGATGGAGTCTGACCATGTGAAATCAAGTTACGCTTAGATAGGTTCCAGAAAGGGAAGCGCTGCTTCTTGCTGGAGCTGTACACATGAAAGGGCGGCCATGGGAATCTGCTTCTGCTGCAAGCTGGTCTGGCACATTTGGGAAGGAGGCAGATTCATTTTTCACTGCTGAAGGGAGTGAATGGCATTGGCAGACAGGGCTCCGCTGCTGTTGCCAAGCTCACATTGTCCACTGCTAAGGTCTGTTGGACTGTGGCTGCTGATTGTGGCAGAAGAAGGATGAAGAGGAGGTTACCAGTTGCCAGCCTGGCTTCAGGGTTTCCAAAGGGTATCTATGATGTCCTTGTGTATTGAAGTAGCTTGGAAGGCTGACCTTCAGCAATAAGAACTGGATGGTTTTGTTGCAGAGGGATGTTGAGTAACTGTGTATAAAGATAAGGCTTGAGAGGGTCCTGATCGGTAATGGGTCTTGTACCATTTTATACTAAGCTTTTTGTTTCTGGTGTTTGGAAATAGAATGAGTCATTTGAGTCTCAGGAAGTTGAGGAAGAAAAAACATGGTTTTCTGTGCAGGAATCCTGGGAAAAGAGCCCTTCCTGGCCCAAATTCAGAAACAGTGGTCACTTGCTTCCATTTTGTGGGTCAGTGTAGTCTTGTGGGGTATGGTGAGCACTTGCACATAATGCATCAGTAGAGTTGTTAGAGAGCTCATGAGACAGAAAGTACAACTGACCATCAAGAAAACAGTGAAACTTGACTCTAAATAAAGTACTGTCAAACGCACAAAGGAAACCAACTGAAATAATAGAGATGATTTTGTGTTGCTGATTGTTTAAAGTTTAGCAGTCTGAGGTGGTGTTTGAAACAGAAGAGTAAGGATGTGTGTGTTTTGTGTTTGAAATTCTAACCGGAAACTAAAGAGACAATGAATAGAGGAAGTAGAGGGAGTTCCTAGGTTGAGGAAGCTCTACATAAGAGATGTTCACAGAGTAGCGTTAGGGATAATGCTGCTGTTGACATAGATGGAGCTGGTAGTGATGCCCTAGAATTAAGATTGCCTAACACTTTCCATTGTTAGCCCTGTTTTCAGTTCTTTATAGCTTTGCCAAACGTTAACCATTCAGTGTGAAACTTTCTATGCTGGCTTTCTGTCTCAAGACGGGTTTTTTTAAAGTTTTTCAGGAAAATTGGTTTGCCTATTTTCAGCAATGAGGTTAAGGAAAATAGGTAGTTTTGTTTACATTAATTTTTTTTTCTAATAGTTTCTTTGCCTACACCTCCAGAGTTTGGAGCAGGGATTTTATATATGGCCAAGACAATTGTCCGGGTATCAGAGGGATGCTTTTTGTTCTCATCATGAAAATACACCCTGATTTGACCAAGTTGTGAACATTTGAAAATCACCCCTGGGATATGCTGAGAATTAGCAATTGCAACTACCTAGCTGTTAGATGGCATTTTTCTGTATGTACAAAGGCAGAGAAAGATTTGAAGGAGGAGAAGTTGGTGCCTTTATGGATTTTTACAAGAAGTTTGTTGTCGTATGTAAGTGGCAGTATGGAGGAAAGCATGAATGTGCTGATGGGAAAAGCTATTGAGGGAGTTTGGGGCTGCTATCATTGATGGCGTGAAATCAGAGATTGGCACTTCCATGCTCTAATGTCCTTTGTTAAATGTTAGAAGAAAATAATATTATTTGATGTCTTTTTTTACTGTTGTCACAGTAAACGTAGGTAGACATTTTCCAGACAGAACTATAAATTTGGTTTTTAAGTTGATAGTGTCCCTTTAAAAGGTTTTGAAGAAATCAGCAGGATTAAACTACTTATGGGCCAGAAAAGAGGAGGGGAAGCAGAATTCTTCTTAATGCTGAATTTCAGTTCAGTGATCATACACTAAGATGGTTATTTTGTCAAAATAACTGTATGGGTTTTTAAATTGCAGGTTCACTAATGTACTTAAATGAAGCTACACTCCTTCACAATATCAAAGTGCGGTACGGTAAAGACAGAATTTATGTAAGTATTCCATAGTGTATTAGCTTGTACAATATGCCAAATAAATGTAATTGTACTGTTTATTATGTAATATTTGTTTTATAGCAGAAAGGGGTTTAAATGCCCAAGCATAATTGGTAGCATTTATGAATGTTAGGATTTTTTATAAGGAAAGTCTGGTGTGCCACCTGATTCAGATGGGTAAAAGTAGTCAGTTAATCAGGTAATTTGGACTTTCTGTATGTTGTTTAATTCATTATTTTATTACATGGTAGCAAATTGCATTCCTTTAGGTATATTACTTTGCCAGTAGGTCTGCTGTTACCAAAGATGGCTCTTTTTTCTTCATTATTTTTGAACGAAGCAAACAGGTGCCTCCTTTGACACTTTCTAGCTCAGATGACCATCTTAATCTTTTATATTGCTATCAAATTGCCTAATTATACTTAATGAATTCTGACTAAATTACATTTAGTCCTTGCCATCTGCCCTGGCAATGACAGCTGTGAAATAGAAGAGATGCAAGAAGTTTAGAGGGGGGGGAAATCCAGTTACTGACATGTAGTTATATAAAATTATTTGTCGTCACCTTTTTTTAAAAAAAGAAATCAGCATTGAGATGGTAGAGCTAGGCAACATTTGCATTAAAAATCAGTTGTACTCAAATGTATTTATTTAGACCTAAGCTTTCCTATCCAAAATTGTGTTCACCCATTTTCAGTTGTTGTTGCTGAACATTATACAGCTATGAATTATTTACAGAATCAAGAATACCAGTCATCAGCTTTAGAAACCATGCTGGCAGTGTCAATTATTTGACTGCAGTTAAAAACAAAACACAAAACAAAAACCAAACCCAAAATACACAAAACAGATATCTAAAGCAGAAAAGACGAAAGTGAAAGTGTTTCAGCTTAGGAATCTAGCTTCACTGTTTTAAATAAATGCTACCTATGTGTTTCCCAGAATCTATTTTGTATAAAATTTGGTTCAATTTTTGTCATAACTAGTTTTCCCTGGTAACTTCAAATATAATTGGAGTAAACAAGATTTATTTGTATGTTGTTTTCAGAATCAGTGGTGTGTAATTTATCTAGCTACCTAGAGGAGTGTTAATATTAGTATTGATGACTCTTGAACATCTTTACTCATACAATTTTCTTCAAAGAAATAGTGAGAACAGAAGTAGCTGAAATAAGCTTTCTGTGAACAGGTGTAGTCCTCTCCCCATTTCAACACAGAACATGCACCCTGGGTTAGTGGCCCATATCCAACCCCCTTCTTGGGGTTTTCCAGTATTCTCAGCTGAAGAACAGCAAATGAAAACAGTTAGCCTGAATCACTTCTTCATCTGGCTTTTTTAGGGTCTTTTTTGTACAAGAGTATCTCTTGTCTCATCCTCAGGCATCTAACTATTCATTTATGTAATCTGGTCATCATCACTAGTATCTGAGCACCTCACACACATTCAAGAATTTATCCACATAACTCCTCTGTGAGGCAGGGAATCTTCATTCTTCCCCACTCTACCCCTGGAATTGTGACTATCTAGTCTGGCTGTAACTGTGCATCAGAAGAATAGCACTATATCGCTATGCGGGATAGTATGATCTGCTACCTTTGCTGTTTAAGTATTTAAACTTTTTAAAAAAGTGAATATAAAGTTGTCTCACACCAAATTGTTTTCTAGCTTGATAGACTATCTATATTATGTATTTAGTTGTTGCATAATGTTTTTCTGTGTATCTATGGAATTTTATTCCAGTAGAATATGGATTTATGTTGATGTTCAATACATCCAAGACCAATGAGATACATTGATATACAGTGGCTGTGTAGATTCACAGCAGCCTTCATGTGCTCATTGACAAGTTATACACATCTTTATGGGTTAGAACTTGTTTTACAGGTGGGTAGAATGTTGTTTAGGACACAGTTATACCGGGTATGAGGTTTTTTTTAGAAAGTGCTTTGGGAATTTTTGCTTTCTTCTGAGATGTCTTTTAAAGACTGTTAATGCAGCCGATGAAGTGAGCTGTAGCTCACGAAAGCTTATGCTCAAATAAATTGGTTAGTCTCTAAGGTGCCACAAGTACTCCTTTTCTTTTTGTGAATACAGACTAACACGGCTGCTACTCTGAAACCTTAAGAAATACAGCAACTCCAAGAGTGCATTACCTATTTGTACCTGTTGTATGGTGTCAGCATTAGTTGTATATAATCCCAAATTATGAGACTTTTCTGGCAATATTTGATTGTGTCCCCAGTCTAATTTCATTGCTCCAAACTCTGAGATAGGTTTCTGTTGTCTTTAATAGCAATTCGGAGTTGCTTTTAACAAGTTAGTTGAATACTTGCTAGTGGTTTACTATGCATTTTTTTTTCTTCACAGACCTATGTAGCCAACATTCTTATTGCAGTGAACCCATATTTTGACATTCCTAAACTTTATTCTTTGGAGACTATTAAGAAGTACCAGGGTAAATCCCTTGGGACATTACCACCACATGTCTACGCAATAGGTATGTCCACCATTTATGCCTTTCTCCTGTAAAATATACTTTTTCCCCACTTCATCTTGCAATCACATGTTAAATAACACACACACAATATATATATATATATATATATATATATAAAAGCATCTATTTTTAAATCATGTTTAAATAAGATAAATCTGTACTAAAATGAAAAATCTTCTCACCTTTGATATACTGCTTCTGTATTTAATAATAATAATAATAATCTATTTACCTCCCAACAAAAATGCTTAGACTGTTGATTATATCTAGTTTAATATACAATGCAATCAAAGCGATGTCCTCTGTTGTGACATGATCCACATTCTGAAAATTTTGGTCCTTGCCAGTAAGTAGTATTGAAGCTCATTTCCTGTCTACTTCAGCATGTTGCTGGTGTGGATTGTTCCTCCTTATACATTTTCCCTCTTCGGCATTAAAATGCCTTTAAATGATTTAAACAAAGAAAACAGTTACTGTGAATATTAAGTTCTTTATATGTTTAGTATGAAAGTAATATAGTGTATAGAAGCTTGTTCAAAAAGACAACAGGTATGAGTCATAACTGAATCAATTTGATGTGCTGCTAACTTTCTCTCACAGAGTATGAAAACTATACACTTCTTTTGTTTTGATCAAACAGTATTTAAATAATTTTCATTAAAGTTCCTTTTCAGGATCTCTTGCACAACCACAAAGTGTGGGGGGTTTGAAACAATATGAAAATGAGTAAGTGTGTCTGGATATAATTTGTCACAATGTCATGTGAAGGTGAAAATTTCTTAATAAAACACCTTCATAGCTATAAAATCAACCCTCCACTATTCCATAAATAAATTAACTCCAGAGTTCAGTTCAGTTGGTATTAGCCCTGCATTTGTTCCCCTGTGGAACAATAACTGTGTGGGTCTATGCCTCTGTGACTCTGCTGCATGGATGGGCCAGACTGAGAGTGCCACTCTCAGGGCAGACTGCAAGAAATAGGGCAAACACTCCCCCAGACTGGTGGTTTATTCTATAATTAGATTCACCAGGGCAGTAACAAAAGAGCTTCTGTAATACCACATTGGTTACCAAGGAGCCTTTAGGGATTCCAGCTCTTGGCTCCCATCTAGACAACCAAGTCTAATATAGTGAAAGGTTATTGAAAACCTGCTTCACCATATGTAAGGTTCACCAGTTCCAAAGGAACCGACAATTATCCCCAGGTCCATATGAATCTCAGATTTTACTCAGATATCACGCTGTCAGCCAATCCTTAATAACTAAATCTAACATTTATTAATGAAAGAAAGAAGAGAGTTATAAATGATTAAAAGATCAATGTACATACAAGTGACTTCCAGTGTTTGTAGTTGAAAATCACAGCAGTGATGGAATAAACTGCTGGCTTGTAAAAGTCTTCTGGAATCATCCCAACAGATCAGAATCCAAAGGCAGCTTAGATGTAAAGTCTGTTAGTCTTTCCAACCATTTTCCAGGGCATTCCAAATCATTATTTGGAAGATCTCCGTCTTACGACTTATACTTTCCCTATTCAAAGTTTAAGCAGATTAGAGATGGCAGGATCAGGCCCGAGGTTTCTCTTTTATAGCTCTTCTAGCAGGTTGACAAGCCTCTGCACAGAAATTGTCACAGCAGGGCCTTCCCAGGGGAGGAAGAATAGCAATGCAGATCGCTTGTGGACCATTGCTTTGAAGTTAATCTTCTATTGCCTGTGCATACACAGGTAAACTAGTTACACTCATTCACATAAGGCAATTAGCTGATTCTACATTATAACATAGTTAAGTTGGAGACAATGTAGACAATATTATTAGTTTCCTGCAGATTCTTACATCTGGACAAGGTCACATACATAATTAAGGCAATTAACACATGTATAATCTACAAGCTAATTTGGTTACATTGTTAAACATCTAACAGGATATAGGTAAACACAGACAAATACACTTAGTATCTACCCTTGATTTCTATTACTAAAAGTGAAGGAGTTGCTAGTCTAGTACATCTCTTTGAAATTCACATACAAGTTAATTGTCTGCGTACAAATGCCTCTTGTTAAGTTGTTAAGGGTCATACATAGGTTGTCTGGTCTACTGTCACAACCTCTTTGAAGATACAAGGCTTCATTCTTTGAGGGTGGGCCACTGTAATGTAACATAAGCAGAAATGGACATTCATAGGATGTAATGCTGAAATTTAGATGTGTAGAGTTTTGATTTTTATTCTCCAAGGGATTAAATTAGGTGTCATGTACATCATAATTTACTTCTGATTTAGCAGTTGATGGTAGGAGGGTAACATAACAACTTTGTGTCCTTTCATGTAATTTTTGTTGTAGCCGATAAAGCATTCCGTGACATGAAGGTACTCAAGATGAGTCAGTCCATCATAGTTTCAGGAGAATCAGGAGCTGGCAAGACAGAAAATACAAAATTTGTTCTGAGGTTTGTAACCAGAAAATTATTCAGTGGGAATCTTTTGTATTGATACATTAGTTTATCATGTTCAGAGATCAATTGTAAAGTCACTTGTAATGTTGTTAATATATGTTTTAGGCATGATCCAGCAAGACAGCTGAATGCTCCCAACCCTCAGTTGATTTCAGAAATTCACTGTTAAGGTTAAACTTAAAAGAAATGCAAACATGATAAGTAAGACTATGATTTTGGTCACTGTGTTCATAGTAATCATGAGTTTCAGTAATGAGCTCACACTGCAGCGGTGGCTCCTGTCCTGCGGGACACGGCCTGGCCAGCTCTTCACGCTGGGTATTGCAACCTGGCACACGTGCTTGCAGTGCCACTTGGGTTTGGTTTGTCCACCCTCCCTAGGTGGAGATGTGGGAGCTGATGGGCCAAACCTCAGTGGTGCAGTGACCAGATTGCAGTAGGAACTGTTGCTTTTCAACCTTCCTCCCGTGTTCTGGTCCTCACCTTTCAACATCCCCACTATATAATCCACTGTTTTATTCCCCTTCCTCCCCCAATGGTACACGTTTTTTTTGGTGTCAGACTTCCTTTTAAAAAAAATAAAAAATTATTTTATAGCCAAATACCCTACCAACAACAACTGCAGTTATGTATTAAATGATATTTTGGGGTGAAACCTTAATTTTACTACTTAAACATGTAAACTACGTTATTTGGTGACCCTTCTGTGGGACTTTTTTCCCCATGCACTTCTGCCATGAAATTTACTAAAAATATTCAATCCAAAACTGTAGCTTTTGTGATAAAACATGAAAATGACAGAGTTCCCAAACAACCTTCGCTCTACTCCATGGTGACATAATGTAATAACCATATGATTATGTTTTGGGCCCAGATGAGCTAAAACTGAGTTTTAGAGATACTAGATTTTTTTTTCCTACTGTTTTCCTTAATGGTGTCACACTGGGGCAGAATTATGGTTTGTGTCCTAACTGTGCATTTCTGTACCTTACCATGCTTGTATTTCTTTTAAGGTTAACCTCAACTGTGAATTTCCTGGGTTTCTAACTCTTGGTCTAGAGTAAAAGTAGTTATCTTAAAAATTATACTGATATGTATGCTCTACTTCAACCACAGCATAACCTGCGGTTTTATTGGGAATTTCTTTTTTGTTCATATGTGAACACTCAACAAGAAACACTGAGGACACTGTTATGATATTGTTGCTGATTTGAAGATGCATAGTATCAACCTTAAATCATTTTTTATTTTATCTTAACAGTTATGACTATATTCACTGTTATGCCCTGGCTGCTTTATGCCATGCTAGAACAGCACAGCTAGAGAATACTGCTCAATAAAACCTCCTTTATCAGATCATTTGCTTTGCCAGAGTACTGTAATGCAGAGTGTACGTCTCACTTTCCATCTGCCTCCTTTCTTCCACATTCCCTTGTATGCACCCCTAATTTCCCCCTCCCTCCTGCATCTCACATTTCATTGCATCCAGATGCCCCAGTTTTCCTTCCCTTCTGAACTCCAGAAAAGATGGCCCAAAATCACCTGCTCCTCAGTGTTGTTCTCTGCCTTTTGACAGCTTACGAGGCCACCATCTAGCCTGAGGACCATTTGGCTTCACTCTTACCAGAAGCAATGGGATATGGAGGGCGTTTTGGAAGAGGGTATCTTAACTGAGGACTCCATGTGGCCTTGCTTCCATTGAGAACATTAGGAGATGGCAACTGTATTAAAAGAGTTGTTTGTAGAATTTTCTAAAACAGAATATTCTTTTAGTGAAAGAGCAAGCTTGTTATGAAGCAGAGCAAGAGGACATTACCATTACTCCTTTTAAAATATTCTTCAAATGTAGCCAATGATTACAAAATTTCAGTGGGTTTTAATTATGTGGAACGTTTGAAGGGTTTGCATTGTGACTTGTTATGATAAGTAACTGGTACAAATAAGTCTAATGGTGGAGGCAAAATTTCTCAAAGGATCCATTTAAAATTTTTTAATTTTAACCTCTAAACTAATTAATGGATTTACTTGTACACTTTCACCAAGTGTAAGCGGTTTGATTGCAGACTATTTTTCATGTAAAATTAGTCATTTTCAATTCCTTCTTTAAGGGTAAAATTGAACTCTGTTCTAATTATGGAGCTGCAATTTGCTCCTCTGGAATCCAAACAGAATTTTGTTTATAGGCTACTAGACTGTATATGTGTGAATATCTTTAATTCTTGATGTATAGATAAAAAGTGACAGGTTTCAGAGTAACAGCCGTGTTAGTCTGTATTCGCAAAAAGAAAAAGAGTACTTGTGGCACCTTAGAGACTAACCAATTTATTTGATCATAAGCTTTCGTGAGCTATGCTCAAATAAATTGGTTAGTCTCTAAGATAAAAAGTGTTGTATAAAAGTTTAACAAATACCTACAGATGGCACGATAATATACTGGTCAGATTGATTTAAAAAAAACACTTCTATAAATATTGATATACGCATAGAGATATGAAAAGATTTGTAAAAATGAAGTCAGAAATACCAAAAACCACATTTAAAGCCAACAAAAATACGTATGTTCCTTTTACAAAAGAAGAGTGTTTTAACTTGTTTAAATGCATATGCACAGAGAACTTGTACAATAATCTTCCATTTAAAATGTTCAGATACGTTCCCCTCTGTGTAAATGGCCAACATATAATACAGATATTTAACAATTTCCTTAATTAGACTGAGGCAGCGTTACTTGGGAGTAAAAAAGAGATGGAAATTGTTTTTTTTTATTCTTCTTCTACAGGTATTTGACTGAATCCTATGGTACTGGTCAAGATATTGATGATAGAATAGTAGAAGGTATTGTATTTTATTAAAGCGAACAGAGGTCAAATTGTTCAAATTTAAAATGTTCAACAACAACAACAAAATCTAGAATTGAAATGTCATCAAACCAATTTGGGCATAAAAGGTCAATGGCCTGCTCCGATCCATCTAATTTGCAAAGATATTTGATTGGGATTTTCTTCTGTTTTATTTAGTGTAGATGTTGAGCACATAATAATAATTCTCTTTGAGACAGTCCTGAAAATGCATAAGCAAGTGCATGACATTAAACTTGTGGGGCCTTATTTGGTTTCATACGTGTAGGGGCAGTTAGATCATCATTGACAACAGTGGCTTTTAGTGGAATGGCGTGTTTTGTTTTGTTTTGCTCAAAATTGGGAGGAAACACAGAACCAATTTTCAAGAATAAGGTTTCTCCAATTAATCTTTCTGCCATGTTAATTTGTATATGTCATAAAGTAACTCATCCTGAATACTACTTCCATGTCATCTTTATTGGATTTAAATTTGTCATATTAATACATTATAAGGCCAGAAGGGGAACCAATGTGATTATCTAGTCTGCGTAATTATGCCACAAGACTTCCCTGAATTAGAGTATATCTTTTAGAAAAATATCCGATTTTGATTTACAAATTTCTAATGAAGAAGAATCTACCACAATCCTTATTAAGTTGTTCCAATGGTTAATAATCCTCACTGTTAAAAATTTACACCTTATTTCTAGTCTAAATTTATCTAGCTTCAACTTCTAGCCATTATATCTTGTTCAGAGAAATAGAGCAGGCTTTCATTTTTTGTTTTTGTAGATATGGTATAATAAGCATGATATTGCTGAATTTCAGCTGGGTATATAAACATCCAAATCCACCTTATGTGCCGTAGGATCTCAGAAAGTGACTGACAGTTGGACATAATGCCTGAAGCTGCATTCCATAATGTTGATTGGTACCTGTAGGTATTCTTGGAAAAAGCTGTGAAATAATTGTAAACACCTTCTTAACAAGCATGCTCACAACAGCTGTATTGTTAGGAGAACCTGTAACTGATCTGAAAAACTTCTGGTCACCTTTTTATTCAATAATCCACATTTCTGTAAATATTACTTAAGCTATTTTTAACAGTTCTTCAATAAGTATTTATTATTAAGGTAGCAGCTTTGAAGCCCAGATTTTCAAATCTCATAAACTTGAAAGACTATTTTTTTGTTTATAACAACTGTTAAGAAAGCCAAATTAAGAAGTTTAACCATCAGTTTGTAATTTTGAATAACAAAAAACAAAATTCCAAGGAAGGACTGACACTTTATCATCCTTAATTTATCTTACTATTGTGGATTTCCTATTGATAACCTTTTAATGTTAGTAGCATCAGATTTGTAGATAATTTCAATAGGCTTTAAATCTGGGGAACAGTTCTTACTGAATTGCTTTAGTTTTAATGGAGTTCAATTTTAAGGTGAAGGCATGTATCACAGTTCAGGGCAACTACACCTGTATTTCCTCTCAGCGGCCCAGCCAGGGCACCCAGGCTTCCAGCTCCCCAGCCATTGCCTTTTTGAGTGGAGAACCATATGTCACCCTTTCTGACTGGGGAATTTCCAGTCTCCACTGTTCCCTGCCTTCACTGTGTTATTCCCAGCAGATCCTGGCTGCCTGAGCACACCTGCTTGCTTTCTCTTCAGAGACTGATAAGACTGATTGTCAACAATTATAAGTTACCACACAGTTCTTTCTATGTAAGCCTATTTTACTCCTAAGATAAAAGTGTTACAGAGAAAACATTAAAAACAATAAAAAAAACCCTGCCGGCATGCTAATAAGCTTACCAGGGTTAATCGCAACCCTAACATGGATTCTGGCAGGGATATTTCCAATTCCCACCCAAAGTGGTTCCTTGTAGTTATAAATTTGTCACAGTTTCAGCTTAGAACAAGCACATAATCTTCAGAGGCTTCAGTAGGACCAGTCCTTCCAAACCTGCCCTAAGGATTGGACCCTGCATGGATCAAGAAGAAGGCCCTGAGCCAGTTTAAAACCAGGCTACTTATCCAAAAATCCTCTCTTTATTGGTCCCTGGAGAATCCAGTTTGAACTTTATGCATGCCTCTCCGAGAGGGTGGCTTCTGCTGATAACAGAGAAAGTACGTTACCATCCCCCTCCTGCTAGAGAAGGTACATACAAAGCCACAATAATACATACACATTTACATTTTAAAACAATGTACCCCAAAGGTATTAACCTAATTCAATAAACCTTAATTCAGTAAACTTTATCTCAACTCCATAAGGTTTCTTCAGGATATTGTCAGTCTGTCACTGTAGGTTGTCAGCAGTTCCTTAAATATAGTTTTCTATGATTTCTGATAGACAAAATGTGGAAACAGTTTTGCTAAGCCTGCTACTGCTGCTTTTGCTAGCTAGCAAAATTATGTTTTTTAGAAGCACTGTGCTGCACAGCTGGATAAATTTTAAACTGTGCTTAAATGGTGCATGTTCAATATGTATGCACTGAATTATTGTGATGCATTCTGGATGGAGCTATTATTGAGGACTGGGAGCTACAGCTACTGCAGAATGTGGCCACCTGCTTGGTGGACTTCAGTGATAGGAGGCACCCTCCAAGTCTTCTCCAAAGTCAGCACTGTCTTTCATTGTGTATCTGCAGGCATTCCAGGTGTCAGTATGCACCATTCTAACAGCAGTTTTAAGTCCTTAAAATTAAATGTTGTTGGGATAGATGCTGGGTTTTCTTAGAGAACAGCTCTTGGTTCCCCCCTTATTAATGTAACTGTGCATAGTGTTCACCTCATAATGTACTTATTCATGCTTTTGCCTGAGGAATAGATGGGAAAATTAGTTGAATTTTGGGGCAATCCACCTGGAGCTCAAATTGTCCATCATATTTTATATTTTGTTTATGGTTGTTTACCCAGTTTTCTTTAGGAAAATACTAGCTGAATCATTTTTCAAATATTTTATCATTCAGATTCAGGAATTGCACCTGGTGTAAAATATTTAAAGTTTGTATTACAAATTGCTTCCACAATAGATTCAGTACAATCTGAAAAAAAAGTGCTATTTTTCATGTTAATTTTATTTCTAAGGGGTAAGACGTATTCAACTTTCAAATGTCATCCTCAGTAGTTACTTCGAGTAATTAGTTATCGTAACTGTAAAGTGATGTGAAGTCTTGTTTTTGTTTTTTTTGCTAGTCTTCTTTGAATCAAATTTTGAAATCTTTTATTTTTAAACAGCCAATCCACTCTTAGAAGCCTTTGGAAATGCAAAGACTGTTCGCAACAACAATAGCAGTCGTTTTGGAAAATTTGTAGAAATCCACTTCAATGAAAAGGTATGAGTACTTTGTTTGTAGTTAGTATTCAGTGGTGGGTTTTGTTTGGTGGCATAGATTTTTGGTGGGTGGCACCCTCCTATCATGTGAATATGTAATCTCTGTTCATCCTGAGTCGTTGTTGATGCATATACAGCAGCGCTTTTCAATGACCTATCCGTGGATTGGCACTGGTCCTTAAGATCTCCCTGACACAATTATGGAAGAAAGCAAGCCGGTCCCTGGTATCAAAAAGGTTGAGAAACTCTGATATGGAGGGTTGAGGATCCTCTCTGTCACCCCACTCTTCCTAGAAGTGCTATATTTTTCCCCAATTAAAATGTTAATCTCTTTACATTTTCAAGTGGCTGCAATTATGGCATTCAACCGTTGCCTGGGAACAGATATACCAGACCAGAAGTAGGATGAGTTTAAGCAACGGTTACCTTGCTTACCAGACTCAAGGGAAAAGTTGTATTCTGTAATTCTTGAAAAAGAGAACTGAAGCCACTCCTTACCATGTCAATACTGGCAAACTGTGGGGCCAAACTGATGGAATGTTATTTTAATTTACAAAAATGATCCTTTTCTACATTTAAAAATGTACCGTTAACAGATTTTAACCAGGTTTTGGCGCACACTTCTTCTGATACGTGTGCAAAAGTAAATATTGCACATTATGTATAGGTGTGTGTATGCATTACATGCGTACATTTGGGGATTTGCACATCTAAATGGGGATAAATTTTTTTGTGTGTCTGTATGAAAATTTGGACCCTAATATCTATATCAGGTATTTTGGAGCTGACTGAAATCCTACTGTTGGACTGAGTTTTTTGTGCCAAAAATGCCTGTAACTATACAGTTTAACAAAAGTTTTATTTTAATTTTGTGTTTTAAAAATAGCTTTAAATATATATTAGTATCTAAGGAAATGTTTTCATCTATTGCCTGGTAGTGGCCATCCTTTGGTACTTACAGAGAACAGGCCATGTTGCAACACTCTTGATCAGACCAAGCAGATATATTTTTAGATGTCTGTATTTCTTGGATGATTAAAAACATAATTGTTTTTCTTCCTTCTAGAATTTGGTGGTTGGTGGATTTGTATCACATTATCTTCTGGAGAAATCCAGGATCTGTGTGCAAGGCAAAGAGGAGAGGAATTACCACATATTTTACAGGCTTTGTGCAGGTGCTCCTGAAGATATTAGGCAAAAGCTGTATTTAAGTTCTCCAGATAACTTTAGGGTGAGTTTGCTGCTGCTTTTGGTTTTTTGGGTTTTTTGGGTTTTTTTAAATCTTTTTATCTTATTATTAACATACATGAACTCTTCAAACAAATGTCAACAAATCTTATTCAGCATCTCTATTTGTTACCTTTAAAAGACCAATATGTAGTGTTAATCTCTTACTCTTGTGTATTTATTTATTCATTTATTATAACCATTTATTATAAAATCTACTTGATACTAATATAAGGCTGTCTACCATTTTTCTGTTTAAAGGATTTCCCATACTTTATTTCTCCATGCCATAATCTTGGGGAATTTTTGTGCTTTTACAAAAATGAGCTATTACACATCTGGCTTGTAGTATTGATTTTATCAGTGATCCTTCCTTAGGACTGTAACCTAATGGAATCAACTATGGGTTCTATGGGTAACCTAACTTCAGTTGTCTTGACAATTTATACTTATTTTCCTCCAAAATGCTGTTATCTCAGGGAATTGTATTATATATGCAGACAGGTCCAGGAAATCGCATCCTTTCTCTCCCCCTGTACCCCCATTTCTTTGGTTTTGTCTCCCCTTCCTGTGTATTCTCATCCCCACCTAGTTCCCACCAGCTCCACCCACTCATCTTCCCTTCTCCATCCTGATCTCCTTCCACCAACATAAATCTAGGTCCCACATCCATGGCATCTTCCTAAATTCTGTTGACATTTACCCCAACCCTGCCGCTCCTTTCACCCGCACAGTCTCCGCCTCCCATATCCATTCCTGCCACCATCTTAATCCCTCTCATGCCACCTAACCTCCTGCCAATAATCCCCTTCTTTCTCCCATCCTTCCTCCCTTCTCTTTCTGTCTCTGGATTGCCCACTCCCATTTCTAAAAATATTTCAGCTATCCATGACCTCTTTATATCTCACTCCTTCCAGTTCCTGGCTCTCAAAGAGATCAGGATCCATTCATGTGACACTCCTCTACAGCTGATGCATCTGCCAGAGATTTCTTCTCCAATACTTCTGCTCTGGACCAGACTGTGGTGGGGTGTTGGGCTTCTCCCCCGCTCCTGCTGCTTCCAGTCATACTGCATCTGACTCTCCTTCCACTCCATGATCCTGTCATCTACTGTCAGCATTCCTCTCTGATTTCAACTCCTGGCTCTTTTTTCCCCTCTCCTTATCTCCCACACTCGTCGTCTGTGACCTCAGTTTCCATGTTGCTGACGCATCCAACTCTTCAACTGCACACTTCCTCGCCCTCACTTCTTCAGTTGATCCGCAGCCCTGGTTCAACTCTCCCACTCAGCCAAAGGGCTGTTCACTTGACTTAATCTTCACCAAGCACTGCTTTCTTTCTAATCTCTCTGTTGCTGAGTTTCCCTCTCTGATCATCCTCATGATCTCCCCCTACCCCATAACCTGTCAGTTGGCCTTTCCATGATCTCCAGTAAATCAGTGTTGATGACTTCTCTTCTGCTCTCAGCCCTGTCCTCTTTTCTCTTTTTTCCCTCACTGTGGTTGTTGATTCTTTGTATGCTTCACTCCCCCCCTCCCTGGACTCTTTAGGCCATCTCTCCCTCATTGTAAGGTCTGCCCTGCTTTCTCCCAACATCTGCTTTCTCTGCTCCTCCTTGCATGTGGCAGTGTGTCATTGGAGGAATCCTGTAATCAGGCTGATTTCCTCTACTACAAATATGATTTTTCCTCCTTCAATTCTGCCATTTTCCTAGGTAGATATCTCTACTACTCCAGCTTGAGTCCCATTCCTGCAGTCCCAGATGCCTTTTCATTGTCTTTGACTCATTGCTCCAACCCTCCCTTCTTGTTGCCTCCATCCTCCTCTCTGCACAGGACCTTGCCAATTTCTTCCCTGAGTCAAATGGCAAAATATAACACACAAAATCCCATCCCCTTGGCTTGCCTTCATTTCCCCTCTTACAATGCTTTTATTAGCCTCCTTGTGACAGAGGCTTCTTTACTGCCCTCTTCCTCTAACCTCTCCACTTGACCAAGTGACCCCATCCCATCCCCTGATCTCTCTCTGACCTACTCTCATCCATTTCCTTACTCTTCTCCTTAACCTCTCTCTCTCCTCCAGCTTTTCCCCTCAAAATACAAACATGCTCTAGTCTCCCCCGGCTTAAATAAATCCCCCAAAGCCACCATCTTGACCCTACTTGCCTCTCGGACTACTGCCTCGTCACCCTTATTGAATGTACTGTCTGCAATTGTCAAAAAGGAGTTTCTTTCCTCTGATCCTATTCTAGACCATCTCCAGTCTGTTTTCCTCCCCTTGTACTCCATTGAAACTGCTCTCACCAAAGGCTCAAGCTCAGAACCAGCATTCCATCCTTATCTTCGATCTGTCAGCTGCCTTCAACACCACTGACCATCTTCTTCTTTTGGAAATTTTGTGCTCCCTTGGTTTCTGTGACTCTGTCCTCTCCTGGTTCTCCTCCTACCTCTTGAAATGCTCCTTCAGCATGTCCTTTAGAGGATCCTCCTCATCCCCTCTCCAACTTTCAATGGGACTTCCATAGGACTCTGTCCTTGGACCCTTTCTCTTCTCCTCCTACAGCTTATCTCTGGATGATCTCATCTGTAAACATAAATTCGTATATCACCTTTGTGTTGAGGTCTAACGGATGTACTTCTCTACCCCAGGCCTCTCTCCTTCTATCCAAACTTAAATATTGGCCTGTTTGTCTGACGTCTCCTCATGGATGTATAGCCCTCAATTTAAGTTAAACATAACTAAAATATATTTGTTCCACATGACCTCCTTTCTCACCTGTTGTGAAAAACACCCTCATCCTGCTTGTTTGTCAGGCCCATAGCTTGGACCTTTCTCTCTCCTCGCATCCAGGCTAAGTTTAAATCTTCCCAATTTTTTCTGCATAACATCTCTAAGATATGGCCTTTCTTATGCACCCACAAAGCTAAAACGCTCCTCCAGTCTTTCATTATCTTGTCTTGTCTCCTGGGACATCATCGTCTTTTATTTTGACACATGCAATCTGCTGAGATCCATTCAGAATGCTGCTGCAAAGATCATTGTCCTAGCCCATCAGTTTGACCATGTCCCCCCTTCACTGGCTCCCCCTTCTCTATTGCATCAAACATAAGCTGCTTTTTTTCCATTTTCAGGGCCTTTTGTAGAATATCCCTACCTACCTATTGCCTCCCATATGTCTATTCTCATCTCCAGTCAGCCCATGCTGCTGGCATCCCATACTCATTTGTTTCATTTTCAAGTTTCATGCTCTGCTATGCTGTCCTTCATGCTTGGGAGGAAGTCCCCCTAAATGTCTGCAAAGCTACCTTATTATTCTCCTTCAGAGTCTCCTTAAAACTCAGCCATGATGTCTCATGCTGACCCATATTGTCTCCTTGTTTCCTTGTATTCTCTTATTGTCCTGCCTGTATTTATCTGCTTTCTCTTGTCTTATACTTAGATGGTAAGATCTCTGGTGCAGGAGCTGTCTTTTTTTTTTCTGTGTTTGTACAGTGCCATGACTAGGGCTTCTGAGTGCTATGGTAATATAGATGATAATACAGACCTTATTCCCCCATATCTAAAGTTGACTCCTTTCTATATAATTTTTTCGCTTAAATGGAGTGAGATACTGTTTGTGAAGTATTTTATAATAATTTTCCATAGTGGTAACACAGGTAGAAAATGTTTTGGATCTCCTCCAGACATTTCCCCATTGTTCCAAAATAATATGTTCTTAGCTACTTCTCCGTTTTTTCCATCACTACCTGCTAGATCTATCAATAACTTATGCCATGTGGAAATTGGGCCCTGTTGAGTTGGACTTGCCAGTAGTGGGTGTAGTTTCCACCCCTGCAAATGTTGGTTATTCCAATCCAGCACATCATTTTTTGGAATAATGGGAGGAAAATAAATTCATGTAGGTGATGGAGGTTAGGAGAAATATTTTCTTTTAAGTACTTTGTTTAGTCTATACAAATTCATATGTATCTTGTAGCTGTTTAGTTGTAGATTACTCAAGCCCTATATTTAATGCTTCAGATTTAGTATTAGTAGCCTGATTTATCACTGAACTCATGAATTTCTTTCAGAAAGTAATAGATTATGCAGGACTGGTAAGCATTAATAGCACATCATCCACATACAATACAGTTTTATGTTCTGTTTTATTAACTGTTTTATTAACTGTAACTCCTTGCTATGCTTCTATTCTGATGAGATTGTTGAAGAGGGTTAGCAAGAAAGGGAATAGAGGACAACCTTGTCTGATTCTTCTTTGTGGATGAAATTCTTTAGAGCTGAACATTTTAATTTTTATCCTGGCAGAGGAAGTGGTGTCCCATAATATATTTATCCAGTTCTTCATTTTGTCTCAAAACCCCATCTCTAATATCAGTGTTTTTAAGACCTTTACTTTATCAAGTACTTCCTTGGGCTCGAGGAATAGCAGTAGACTTTTAATGCTTTTTATTCTGCATTTTACAAATTCTTCCTATGATTCTTCTGATGTTGTTACTCAATTTATCTATTGTGTATGAAGCCCATTCAGTGTGTGGTAACTGAGGAAAGACAGCTTCTGTTCTTTAGGATGAGATTTTTTCCCTCCAGAAATACTGGTGACTAAAAATTTTTTTGTTTTTGTTTTTTGTTTTCGGGTGTGTTTTGTTTAACAAATCCATTTGTTTTCACATCATGTGGAAACAATTTTCCATAGTTATCTTCTTTATTGTGTTCTCCCCCCCCCCCCCACCTGTTCATGTTTGCTTCAGGAGCTGAATCTCAAACCTGTGCAAAGTTATGAAAGTGGAGGCAAGATTTATGTTCTGCTTAAAATTGAGCTTTCTGAGTCCAGTGCTGGTAACAGCTGCTACCACTGCCTATGCAGAAGTGCTGTTACTTTACTGTTTTATGATGATGTATTTATTTAAGGTGCCTAGAATCACACTGGCTATTTTATTTGCAATTATACCAGGTTATACACTGATTTGATTTGCTGTTTGCTACTAAAGTTATGTTGTTTAAACATTATTGCCTCCCAGGTGTTTCTGTTCCATTGAGTATGTGTTAAGATTATTTTCACCAGTCTGCATAATTGCAGAATAGTTTGTTTTATTTAGATGTTCATTTGAGTGCTTTCAAATAATGACTTACATGGTCAGAGAGATTCACTTTGTGTAAACAGCAAATGTAACATTTTAACTCTTCCTCCCTTTTTCTTTGAGATTAAGGTACATCATCTTTTCTTCAGTTATCACAGAAATTTAAGATGATAATTTTAGAAAAGCTGAAGTAAAAAATCTCTTTCCATGAAATTCATTTTAATATTAAGGCTATTTTTATATAAGTAGTCTCTCAGATTTCAGGATTACAAATTGAGGTCCCAAACTAGTGTCAGTCCTTTTAGGACTCACATCGATTATGCAATCCCTTTTTATTTATAATTGAGGATCATAGCGGATAACAAATACCCTGAAGATTGAAGAAAATGACACATTGGTGTTTAATCTAGTTAAACTCTAAACCCCCTAATCGTCGTCTTTTATTATATGCTTTGAAAATACCTTTTTGCCCTAAACCTAATCTGTGTATTGACTGGAGTTCTTTGTTTTATAATAAAACCCACTATGTTTGGATTAAGCTTCTCCTTTATAGGAAACCTATTAAATTCCACAGTCATTCACTTTGTAAATCTGTAAGATTTCCACTGGAAACCTCAAGTCCTATTCATGTAAACATGTAACTTTTTTTCTCAATTACAAAACTATTTCTGAGGTCAACTCCGTAAGAGTTTCAATGCATAGAGAAACATTTCTATTTTTAAAACGTATTGTACAGGTGGGCTCTGTGCGCTGTCTCCACCCATAGGCGCCATCCCCGCAGTTCCCATTGGCTGCGGTTCCCAGCCAATGGGCGCTGTGGAGCTGGTGCTCGAGATGGAGGCAGCAGTGGAGAGGCCTCACCTCCGTGTAGGAGCTTGAGGGACACGTCAGGGGAGCCGCACGGAGCCAGGTAGGGAGCCTGCCAGCCCCGCCAACCCCCTTCACCCTCAGCAGCAACGGGAGTCCCAGCCGCGCTCCACCGCTTCCCCCCCACCCCCCCCAGCAGGTGTGGCATCCCTGGGCCGCCCCCCTCCTCAGAGCACCCAAGGTTTAGTCAGGGGAATATAGTACAAGTCACAGGCCATGAATTCTTGTTTACTGCCCGCCCTGTCCATGACGTTTACTATAAATACCCACAACTAAAACATAGTCTTACCTGTGAAACAGCATGCAGTGTAGTTGTAGTTCTAGCCATTTCGGTCCCAGGATATTAGAGAGACCAGGTGGGTGAGGTAATTTTTTGGACCAACTTCTGTTGGTGAGAGAGACTATCTTTTGTGTGTGGCTTGAAAGCTTGTCTCTCTCACCGGTGTGAAACTTGGCAGCTTTGTAAACATTGAGGATAATACTTACCAATTTCCATAACAGTGCTCTGAGGATTAATTATGGTAAAGTTTGTGCATCACTTTGCAAATGTAAAATGCTAGTAAGTACTGTTTTTTTATAATGTAATGCCCCCTGCAGCTTCTGACTACAAATGGGAAGGCAAATGCAGTTCCCAAAAACCAAGCTTGACTGCAGTTATCTATGGGTGGAGTTTACTACCTGTAGGAATACACATTTTGTCCTGTTATAAACCATTTCCCCCTTATTTGGAGCTTCATTTCCTGTATCTTTCAAAGCAGTTCATTATGAAGTTACCAGTTGCATCTTCATATGTTTTGCTTTTTAAAATGGGGCATAAACTCTTGTTTTCCTCCAGCAGCAGGTGTCCCTTTGGTGCGAAATTTCACACAGTGTCTGATGTACGTCATCGGTATTAGCTTTTGTTTTGCTGAGGTATCACTTAATTTCTTTGGTGTGGAGATACATTTTAAGAGATTCCAGATATGTATTATAAAATTTTGAAGAGACGTGTGTGTTACCCAAACTAAATTTACTTGAGAACAGACTAGACTTGACTGGAGGTGTTTTACAAGAGTACTTAATATTGCAGAATGTACCTTGGTACTGAAAAATTGAAATGCTGAAACTGACAGCTGGCTTTCTATGAAGTAGCACCTTTTCTTTTGTTACTTACTTGCAAGGTTTTATACAGGTTGATTTAATTCAGTACTAAATGTCTAGGTTAAGTCTAGGAATTATATGTCTCTTTCAAGTCACAAAGATGTTCCGTTTAATAGCTGTGTCTGATTTAATAGTTCATTTATGAGTTCTCACTGTGTCTTCCCAGTTTGCTTACAAGAAGTACTTTTGTTAGAATAAAATTACTTTCAAATAAGAATTTTTTCCCCATCTTCCAATTCTGTGATACCATTGTTATAAATAAGATATTGCTTTCAAGGAAGTAATCCTGAATGCCTGATAGTATGTGATTGGTGTCATATGTTGAAGTTAGAAGAGGTAGTGCACCTCTGGGTTAGTATGATATACTGTAATTGGACTGAAGCACTAAATCATTAGCTAATTATCTCCTTGCTGTTTTGTTTTATTTTATTTATATATAACATGCATTTTCCCCTTCTGTTGTAGTATTTAAATCGTGGCTGCACTAGGTACTTTGCTACCAAAGACACGGACAAGCAAATTTTGCAAAACCGCAAAAGTCCTGAGGTATGGTATATTTTCCACATTTTCAATTACTTCAAATTACTGTCTTATGCGGATCATGTTAAAAATGTCAGTCACACTTGTTTAGAATAAAAGGAAATATTCATTTTACACATCTTACTTGACAGGTTTAAATGGGAACTGGCTGGCATGTTTAAAGTTCTAGTTTTGGAGTGTTACTAATACTTTATTTCAGGTTCAATACTGGAAAGACTTCTTAAAAACAAAAATGTAAATTTATAGCCTAAAATGTAACCCCTAAAATATTTTAAAAATCGCTTTTTAATTTTTATCATACTTTAATACCGATATTTGTCTTAATGACTCAGCAGATCTTCAATGGGAGACAAAACAAATATCTTATACAGAATGTTATCTTAAATTCTTGCTTCTCTTAGCAGTGATACTTTGCAGAGCATTGTTTATTCACCACTTACGATTGTTGACAACCTTTTTGCTTTGCTTTTGTTAATAGCTGGGTATGGTCTATTTACCCAGAGAATTATTTGGAATTACTGTACAATTAATTATATTCCTATGAATTAGATGCAGAAACCAATAAGCAGAAAATACAAGTAAAGCTTTTTTCTGTCACAAAAAAGTTTAACCAGTTGAGATTGAATTCTCTTTCATAGTTTAAAAAAAAAATCTCTTGTTGGTGCTGTTGTAAAGTTTTGGACAATTCTGTATTTCATAGTCGTTACTAAGTTAGAAGTGTGACTTGGGGCACTGAGTGTCAAAAGCCATGACCTCACTGGCTGGTTAGGCCCTTTTAGTAGTGTCATAGCCACACACCAACTCTTTAAGCACAATTATGACTTAATCGCCAGGAAGAGCACGTTGTCTTCACCACACTCTTTTTTTTCTCAACTGTTTTCTCTTATCCTACTAGTAGGAAGTATTTTTCCTAGTGGAACAGTGCATTTCTGAGTAGAACATGTGAAATGTCACACCTCCCCCACAAAAATAAACTAATTACATTGTAAACAGTAATTTAAATGACTGGATCTGATGTTCTAATAAAGGTAAGACACTTCAGGTAATTCAACAAGACTATTGCGGAACTTCTCAGGTGGCTCAAGGCGCTTGATTTTCAGTTGAATGCCTGATAATGCATTCCACTCATGTACCAATACCCTATTACTTTGCACCCTGGAGTGGTTTATTACAGTTTTGTGGGTGAGAGGGAGTGTTAAATTTTGACTTTCCACCACCAAGCTGTAAGGTATCCTCATGAATGTCTGTCTTGGCAGATAATTAAGCCAATCAAAGAAAATGTTTAATCTAACAGTTCATTGTGAGTGCTGCTGAGCTATAGAAATACTGTTCTTTCTTGGGCATTTTTTATACCAAAGTTCAGTTTGAAACAAATGTTAATGTCTAAATTAAAATGTACTAAAAGGAAGAGATGATGTTGGAAATGAATGTTGACCACTAAGTAGTGAAACAAATGATACCACTGAGTATTATGTCCTTTTCTTTGAAGAACTACATTTCTTTGGGAATGGATGGCAAACTATTTACTGAGGACAGGTTTCAGAGTGGTAGCCGTTGTAGTCTGTATCAGCAAAAACAATAAGGAGTACTTGTGGCACCTTATAGACTAACACATTTATTTGGGCATAAGCTTTCGTGGGCTAAAACCCACTTCATCACATGCATGGAGTGGAAAATACAGTAGGAAGAGATATTTTTATAGATATATATCAGTACATGAAAAGATGGGAGTTGCCTTACCAAGTGGGGGGTTGAGACAATTCGATTAAAGTGGGCTATTATCAACAGGATGAACAATCACTGTTGTAGTGGTAATCAGGGTGGCTCATTTCAAACAGTTAACAAGAAGGTGGGAGTAACAGTAGGGGCAAATTAGCATGGGGAAATTAGGGTTTTTTGTTTTGTTTTTTAGTTCTTGTAGTGACCCAAGAACTAAAACAAAACAAAAACCTAATTTCTCCATGCTAATTTGCCCCTACTGTTACTCCCACCTTCTGGTTAACTGTTTGAAATAAGTCTTGGCAGATTACTACTACAAAAGTGTTTGTTCAGCCTGTTGATAATAGCCCACTTTAATATAATTGTCTCAACCCGCCAGTTGGTCAGGCAACTCTCATCTTTTCATGTACTGATATATATATATTTTCCTACTGTATTTTCCACTGCATGCATCTGATGAAGTGGGTTTTAGCCCACAAAAGCTTATGCCCAAATAAATGTGTTAGTCTATAAGGTGCCACAAGTAGTCCTTGTTGTATTTACTGAGGGGTAATAGAAAAGGGCAAGTTTTTCATAGTACACTAGAACCTCAAGTCTAGCTATCTAACTGGAAACTATTGTATTGCCAAGTTCTTTTTAGATAGGCAATGGTTGTTTTTGCTCTGTCACTTATTAAACTTATTCCTGTTGTATATTTTAATATAAATAGCTCAATAGTGAATTAATGTTTAAATTATTTTTCTTTTCCTTATCAGGAAGATGAGGTGATCATTTTACTTAATTAGAAAATTTAGTTAAATTTTTGTGTGCGTCTAAATACTGTTTGACGTGAATCTTTCAAATGCATGCACTATTTTATTCTGAGATGACAATAGAAGTGTTTTCACTATAGGCTATTATATGGACTCTTCTTTCAATTAAATTAGGCATCTTTTTCAATTTAAAGCATTTTAAAATTTAATTGTAAAGTTAAAAATTGTGTATATGTTTGATTTAGCCTTTTGGCTGCAAGCAGTTGTTTACTGTCTCCCACCCTGAAATAATACAGTTGTGGCATTCTGGTGTCAAGACAACCAGTAAAAGCTGAATATAATATTTAATGGGTGTGTGTCTTTTAACCTTTAAAGCACTACAGACACATATACTTTTCTGAGCAGGAAATGCAAACTAGTATACTTTTGTAAACCACCCAATGAAAGACTCCCATTCTTTTCCATTTTTGAATCATCCTGTATCCCCTTCTTCTTTCTGTCAATGTCATCCCCATAATGATGTCATTAGCACCTCAACCTGTCTTTCCCCGTCAAAGACTAGAACTCCTCCCCAGTTCATATACTGAACCTTTCACAACTGCTTTTTGCCATCACCCTTGCTATCTGCTGCTGAACCGTTTGTTTTCCTGTTTCCCCTCCCCTAGCTGTCAAACTCTCCTACTTCGTTAGATCTCTTCTGAAGTTTGGTTAATTTTCTCAGAGCCAAGGACACTTGAAAGCAAGTTATAGTATTTTTAAGCATGTGCAAATAGTAACATCTTTAATCCCTTTATATAGTTTATTGTTTTGTTTTTGCATGTTTTGTGCTGCTTGTTCATAAACTAAATTATTAATTACAATTTATTTTCAATCATTTGATTAAATTGTCTGCTTTTCTTGCTCTTTAATAGTACCTAAAAGCAGGTTCCCTGAAGGATCCTCTACTAGATGACCATGGAGACTTCAACAGAATGTGCACAGCAATGAAAAAGATTGGCTTGGATGATGAAGAGAAGCTTGATCTTTTCCGAGTAGTAGCCGGTGTCCTTCACCTTGGAAATATTGATTTTGAGGAAGCTGGGAGTACTTCAGGTTAGATGAATTTTTTTATTATAGGCTTCTTCTAAAAAGGTGTGAATGCTTTTTGACTAGACGACTAACTGAGGTAAACTGCACCCTACATTCTGAAACAAAATCCTGTTCAATATCTGCTCCATAGCTAAAGTTAATCTAGCTGCCCATTATCAACCTCATCTTCTTTTGAAGACCTGTTTTCTAACTTCATCAAAAAATATACTAACACAGTCCCCCTGAAATTGTTCAGGAAACAGGTTTCCTGGAAAGTTTTTGGTACAAGTCAGAAAAGAAATTTTGCACAGCTCTGTTTTGAAAATTTACCTGTCATTCAATTTTTAAAAATTTCCTAGCTTGATTTTGGCTCTTATCACTAGCATGTCTTGGCTTAGAAACTCAGCAGTCTGGTTTTTTGTTAACTTTGGTAAGGAGAAATACCTTCCTTTTAGTAATTTTGGGATGAAGGAAGAAAGTGGTGCACTAAAAAGATCTGTAATATAATCAGCTTTATAATCTTACAATTGGTAGGGAAGAGGGTAGTTGGGGGCTAACTAGAGCAGAGATATAAATTGAAGGTACATGAAGGCTGGAGGAGGGGAAGTAAGGAGCAACTGGGAAACTCATAATCTTACTATGCAACTTACGAGACTTTGTTAGGTCTGTTTGCTATTTTGCTATCCTTCTTGTTTCTTTAAATGTATTTATTTATTGCTGCTCTGTTTTATGGATGAGACTTAAGAGAACCCCAATCTTGACACGCTTTGAATTTGTCCAGGATAGAAGTATTCTCTATGTGGAACTGTGTATGTCTAAGATGGCAAGATAGTGGTTTTTAACTTGTTCTTCTCTTCCTCTCCTCCTGCTACTGCATAACCAGGTCCATATTTGCACAAATCTGTTAGAATGAGCATGTAGAGAAATGTTTAAAATTATTTTTAGAGGTTTATAAGTGTAAATTGACTAGCTTCTGATTGCAGGCATGAATTGGGTGTGGAAAATGTGAAAGAAGGGAAAGCTGGGAAAGATGGGCAGTGGGCTGGGGGTAGTAAGGAGCTGTTTGGTCCTGTTTAGGGGAAGGAGCATGGGATGTATGGTGGAGTGGGGTGAAGAAAGGAGACAGGTAGGGAGGAAGGGGGAGTTGCAGAGGCCAGAAGACATGGAAGCAGGACTGTCAGGGATTGGGAACGGCATGGAATATCTGAGTGCGGAGGATGGATGGGAACATAGAAGGGCAGAGTCTTTTATTTAAACTTACAATTCAAACTGTTTTCTAGAATAAGATCTTTAAGAGCTCAAAGTTTTAAATGTGAGTAAAAGCCCCACCCATTCTCCCTCCTCCTAGGTATACGCATAGAGGTGTCTAATACACTTGCTGACACTTGCAGAAAGGTAGCCTAGCTTTGATGGGCCGAATATATTCTGCTGGATCAGGACTCTACTCCTGAAGTGTGTTTATACCAACATGATTTAAACTTTTGCTGCTGCTTCAGAAAGCTGGGGGATTTCCAGACAAAATCTTTTGGTTTATAAAAGTTATGTTTGAAAGTGGTGTGTCAGTGGAGCCCAGTTTACTCCCAGGAATTACATTTCTTCACAAACCCACTAGTCTTTTAAAGAACTCAAATGTTTTATTGTCTGTCAATGAACAGTTAAGGTATTCAGGCAGTCCTCCACTGATTCTTCATCATTTGTGATTACCCTCACAATATTTCCACCTTAGTTTTCGAGTTATGAGGGATAAAAAGTTTGTGCTTCTGGAAAAAGTAATAACACTTTATTTTAATTTTGAAGATACAGAAACCTTAACTCTGGAAAAATGCTGGATTTTTTTTTTAATTATTATTTCAATGCCTTGCTTAACTGTTGTGGGTCTATGAGCAGATTCTAATTCAGATTAGAAATAAAGCATAAATTTTTAACACTGAAGGTAATTAACAGTTGGAACAATTTACCTAAGGATATGGTGGATTCTCTTGCTTGGAAATCTTTAAATCAAGACTGGTTGTCTTTGTAAGAGAAATGCTATAGTTCAGACAGGTTTGGCCTTAAAAATGTATTACTCTAATTACACTTTACAGCATCATGAAACATTGTAATGCTGGAAAGGCCTTCACTGTGCATTTGTCAAAGAAAGCATTTAAGGGAAACAAGTGTCATTTCTGCCAAGTCAATCCTTATTTTTCTTGTGTAGCATACACAAGTTTATGGTTAACTAATGTCAGGGTTATCATGTTATGTGCCATGTTTCTAAGAAAGTAAAGTCTGATTTATTATATGTCATGTGGGGAAAAACTGCTTCAGAAATTAAAGGCAACAACCATCAAGTGAAATAAGAACTGAGATATGTAATATACTTACAAGTCTAACAAAATTATGGGTGAAATATTTACAAACACAGGAATCTTTTAAAAAAGTCTTTCAAAAATAGCTATCAAAATATATACAATAAAGCAGTATAACAACTAACTAGGAAGAGTATAAACAACTACAGTACATTATCAAACATTAACATTTATTTCTCCAACTCTTTCTTTCTATATTCTGAGAGAATCCTTTCTTTAAGAGCAGGGTAGTTTTATATATCTTTAGTTTTTGGAACCAAGAAATGCATCCTTTGATGTCAAGAATTCTGTGGGTTAGGAAAACTGATCTTCAGGTTGCAGTGTTTCTTTTTCTTTAATGTCCTGTTCTGCTCTACCCTGTAGACTGGAGCGGTTTCTATTATAGTGAAAAGGGGATTTGTGAATACAAAAATGTCATACTAATGTAATACTATATGACTTGTTCGTACTCCTCAAACTTCTGTCGCACATCTCAGTAAATAGCATGTAATCACTAAATTATCAGTAATGTAAAGGTGGATATTGATTAGTCGACAGTTCTGAATTTTTTTTTTTAATAAGTAGTCACTAATTGTCCTCTCAACTAGCTTTGGTTGTAACATCTTTCTTAACTTGTGCTCTAGGTGGATGTATTCTGAAGAACAAATCTAGTCAGTCTTTAGAATGCTGCGCAGAATTACTAGGTTTGGATCAGGATGATCTGCGTGTCAGCTTAACCACGAGAGTCATGCTTACAACAGCAGGGGGCACCAAAGGAACGGTTATAAAGTAAGTTCAGAACACTCCTCTGTTCAGCTGTAAATGCAAAAGTAGCCCATTTAAAAATAAATTGTAAAAGTGATTATAGATTTTTTTTTTAATTAACAGCCCTGCATTGTTCAACACACATCTGCTTGTCTGTAAACAGTCTTTGAAACATGGACTTTGACGCAGGGTTTCTCAGTCTTTCTCACTGTTTTAATAAGAGAGTCAACTTCCTGATACCAAAGTGCTTGAAACAGTAAATAAAATACTTACCACCACAGCAGTTTTTATTCTCTCATCCCCACCTTCAACTGTAGGAATTGGATACTATCCGTGTAACAAAAATAGCAATTATGAGTGATATATATATTTAATACAATATAAGTAGCATCACTGAAGTAAATTGTTTAGAAGTTCAGCCCTTTGCTTGTACATCTGAGAAAGGGCAAACGCTCTTAGGCCCGTGCTTAACCACTTTTAAGTACAAACTGAATCAATTTTAGCATAACAATGATTACTTAAAAGTTAAGGGAAAACTTAGAGTAGTAATTAAAAGTGTGTAGCACCTTTCAAGATGCGAACGGAGATGGAAGTGAAAAATATTAGCTTGTAAGTAATGTTGGTTGTGCTGGTTGTTTGTGGTGGTTGTTACAGTAGTTTGATTTTACTAAATGATCTAAAATGTACCTGTTGCCTTTCTGTGTTCTTGTATTTGCTTTCATTTTGAAGGATAATGTGATTGTACTACAGTATTATGATTAAGTCATTATTTTTAAAAAATAAAAATTAACTAAGTTTTGAATTTTGTTTAAACTTCTGTATCAATGAAGTTAGGATTAAGTGTAAATGTATAGCAGTAACTTGTTTGAGCTTCTGCTGTTTAAGCAGTTAACTACTGCAGCAAACGGTGTTCGCAGAACTGTGCATATAGCTGCTGTTTATATGCATCAACAAAGACTTAAAAGAAAACTGCACAGTTAGCTTTTGTTTCATTAGGAATGTTAGAAAAATAGAACAAGAGGACAAACTAAAATGGAAAGAAATGTGCTTTAGCCATTAAAAGGGTTAATGAATTTACTTGCGTAAATAGTAATAACACATTAAAAAATCAGTAGTTCCTTTTAAAAGTGTTGTTATAGATTTTGTTAAATATTTATATCACTTGAGATTTAAAATGTTACTCATTACTATGATATCTTTTTGTATTTTATAGCACTAAATATTGTCATAGCAAAAATAGAATAAGTGTTGTACATCTATACAAAATAGCAAATGTTTTTGAGCAATAATTTGGTTTGACTTTGGTGTATCACACTATGGTCTTGAGTTTAAGTTGAGCACTCAGCAAGTTAGTTAATGTACATTTATATTATATCATACTTATAGGTGAAAAATTGATCTTAAAGCACTTTGGAACACTGGCATTTCTCTGGTCATACTCTGAACTTTAGGGATGGAGTTGCTTACCACAATATGAATATAGGCAAGTCTGCTGTATGAACTGCTGTAGCGATTTTTTTTAAAGTAGGTAACATTGAGGCCTGCTTCCCGACTGAAGGCTATTTAGAATGGTCTCCGGGCTTGAACCATACTAATGCTGATACAGTATTTTAGGTCTCTGTTAAGATTGATTCTGCACCCCACAATATGTATAAGCTCTAGCCTCCATCTTTTTCTTCCACTACTGCATTATACTAAATGGCAGTTCACTTGTAGCCTTTCCTCTCATTTCTAGTGAAAATAAACCAGGGGTGGCCAAACTGTTGCTCGTGAGCCACATGCAGCTCTGCTACCGTTAAAGTGTGGCTTGCGGAACCTCTCCCCACTTCCCGCACCAGACTGGGGGAGCTCGGGACCTCTGTGCCTTGCAGCAGGGTGGTGGGGTAGGGGCTTCTGCCCAGCGGGGTAGGGGGTCACCTTGGGGCTTCAAGAGGAGCAGGGCTGAAGCTCCAAACCCTGTTAGGTGCCTCCCACGGGGCTGAAGCCCCGAGCCCCAGCAGATGCATCCTGGCTCTCAAACTTCTGAAGATTGTTGTATGCGGCTCGGAGGGTCAGTAAGTTTGGCCACACCTGGAATAAACAATCAGAATATTTAGGCAGTGATGTGAACACTTCATCCTGCTTGTCATTGTGCATGAGAAGGGGATTCAATAGTGAGAACTTCAAGATGGCCACTGCCGGTAAAAATTAAAATGGGGTTGGAAATACGAAGGGGGGGAATCTGTGAAGGAGTGTTCTAAATCCTCTGGAGCAGACAGGACCAGCTTTCCTCAAATGTTTAAGAACATAAGAGCTGCCATACTGGTACACACCAAAGGCCCATCTATCCCAGTATCCTGTCTCCAACAGTGGCCAGTACCAGAGCTTCAGGGGGAGTGTATAGAATAGGGGCAATTATGGAATGATCAGCTTTTGGCAGTCAGACATTAAGGGTCGCCCCGAGCATGGGGATGAATTCCTGAACCTCTAATAGCCATTGATGACCCCCCATGAACTTACCTAGTTCTTTTTTTTGAATCCTGCTATAATTTTGCCCATCACAACATCCCATGGCAATGAGCTGCGCCAGTTAATTGTACTCAGTGTGCAAAAATACTTCCTCTTGTTTGTGTTCATAGAATATCAGGGTTGGAAGGGACCTCAGGAGGTCATCTAGTCCAACCCCCTGCTCAAAGCAGGACCAATCGCCAATTTTTGCCCCAGATCCCTAAATGGCCCCCTCGAGGATTGAACTCACAACCCTGGTTTAGCAGGCCAATGCTCAAACCCTTGAGCTATCCCTCCCCCCCAAAGCAGGTGTTAAACCTGCTTCCTATTAATTTCATCAGTCGACCCCCCCCTGAAGTATAGTTAGGGTAAATAACACTTTTCTATTTAGGTTTCAGAGTAGCAGCCGTGTTAGTCTGTATCCGCAAAAAGAAAAGGAGTACTTGTGGCACCTTAGAGACTAACAAATTTATTTTCTATTTACTTTTTCAACACCATTCATGATTTTATAGACCTCGGTCATATCCTCACCTAGTTGTTTCTGTTCTGAGATGAACAATCCTAATCTTTTTAGCCTCTCCATATATGGAAGCTGTCTCAATGTCTCTTTGGTTCTTCTTCTCTGAAAAATGACTGTAATAATGGTTTGCCAGATCAAATTTGCTCAATTTACAACTAAAATGACCAATATTTTTTTTTAAAATGCCAGACCTGCATACTCCTCTTGGGGTAGGAGTCTACTATGTTCTTTCTGACTAGCAGTTTTCATTGGTAACCCTGACCCAATGTTAACAGGTGCTATTTCAAAGGATCGCAAACCTAAGTGGCTATACTGTTATGCCAGTAGATCTCTTACTGCTTAGTTTTCATAATATTCCACTCTGTGGATTAGTAGGAAGAGCTCTGCAGACCTGAAATCATTGAATTAAGCCCCCTGCTCCAGCCTTATTCTAAACTTATTCAGCTAAGAAAACCACACACTAACAAACTCTTCTTTCCTTTGTGCCTTATTGAATCTATAATGAAAGCAGATTAGTGTGACTAGATTTTCATGAAATATCTAGGTTTTACCAGTGAAATAGTTTAAAAAATAATTAGTTAAACCTGTGTTTAATACTTACAATAATTAAAAAAAATGCTTTCTTCTAGATTTAAAGAAACACAAATCCTAAAAATGTTTGTGATTTCTCCCTTTCTGTTTTATGTGTGAAAATTGAAGAATGTGAGAATGAGTAGGTTACAATGAAGAAATAGCTCAGCTGAAATAGCTCTGCTCAGAGCATAACAAACACTATGTTCTGCTGTGCACAATAGAGTCATTAAGAAGGGTGATGTTAAATGCTCTCTTCATGGATTTATTAAATACTATTCTGAAGTGGACATGCCAAGGGAACTTGTCAGTGATACTAAATTTATCTGTCCTTGTTAGCTTCCCTGAAAGAGCAATGGCTGATGTCTTGCAATGCATATCCAGAAAATCTACAGATAGAAATAATGTGTTCAGATACAAAATTTGATATTCCTCTCAAAATTAATGCACCTTGGTATCTTTGGTTACTCAGCCTTTCTCCCTCCATGCATCCTTTGAGACAAGAACTGTGCAAGGTCATATTCTTGGAGAAGATGATACCATTTGAAAACATTTTACACTTTATCATTCTAGCTTCTTATGCTTAGTCTTGGAGTAGTACCATATGTGCAAAATGCTTTTCATGATACTTGTCTTTAAATGCATTTGGAAATACATTTGGAAGGGTAGTAATTTTATCATTTCTCTTCTTATTCATTCTAACATGTATTCTGTGTTTTATGCTTACTTTTTGTGGGGCACATGTCATATTTTTAAAGCAGTCTTTTACAACCTAGAGTTCACAAACTCCAAGCAGTTGGCACTACTTCCTCAATCTAGATCTGATTTTTGGATCACAAAAAAGTCTCCCTATACAGCATGATATAGGGAGCATCAATCAAGTAACCCATATTGTAGGAAATGCTTCCTTTTGGCATCCCAGAAGCCAGAAAATGTGGGAGAGGGAATTATTTCCTTTTCTCCTAGAAGTATGGAAAATGAGGAGGGAAGGATAAAGTGGAAAGAAAAAGGAAAATTCCTTTCCTTCCTTGCAACCAACTCTTACGCTTTCTGCTCAGCAGGATGTGAGAAAGAGGGTTTGGGAGGGAAGAAAGATAGTAAGTAGTATGATGATATTGCATTATTACTCTGTCTCAGTACCTAATAACTATCCAACCACATTCCATCATCTCAGTGCAGTGTCAGGACACTATATAGTAATTCTTTTGTGCATTTTAAGTTGTGAAAATGCATTTGTAGAACCAGATTTCTCTCTTTCCATGGGTTTCTTTTGTCTGAAGTAAGTGCTCACAATAGTTGTTTTGTGCAGTCCTGGAATTAACATTGCTGCACCAGTTCAATCTTGAGTAGTTCTAATATATTTAATAGAATGAATACCCTAGCAGTTTCTTAGCTACATGTGTTAATGATGTAACATCTGTTTTTTTATAACCGTTTACATACTTTATAGCTAAAACAATTACATCCTTAAATAAATATGGTATACTGGATTATATAAGAGAACTGCAGTTGACATGAATTGTTGTGAAGATTACCAGACTGATCTCTTAAATATATCAAAAGGGAATGTAAAGGTACCTTGCCTCTATTTATAAGATAAGATTCCTGTCAGTACTTGTTACCGTAAGATAAATCAGGAGATACTTAGTGGAAGAAGAGATTGTGTGTTAAGCTAATTACTATCTAATGTAATGTAGCTCCAGTTGTCCATAACGAATGGAGTCTTTGCTTTCCTAATTTATCATTTATGATAGAAAGTGATCTCCGATGTTAGAAGTACTGTCTTTGAAAACATATTTTTTCCCAAGAGAATGTAGTGCTTGTAAAAGGAGACTAACTCTGCTATGGGTATACAGAGCTAGTTTAATATGGACAGCTGCACTGTGTACGCTTTCTCACTCTGACCTGCCAGTTCTTCTCAACCCTAATTGAAAGAGAGCCCTGTAGTGGTTAATGCTTCATAATTATGAAAACCATGACCTCTTACGTGGATGTCAGCAGCAGATGTTTTAGTTCTGATGGCTGCAGGGGCAGGGGATAAGTTGATTCTTGTCTGTTTGAAAAGCTCCATATTCGAATACCAAAGCCCTGGCGTGCTGGAACAATTTTTGCAGTAGGGGTGCGGATGATGGAGACCATGGAAACCATGCATTTGGCGGTTGTTATTACTACTTCAAGCCAGGGGATGCGGCAGCAACCCCAGCACCCTTAGTTCCAGCACCACTGCCAATGCCCTTAGCCGTTCAGTCCATCCCACTTCATCCCTGATCTTTTTTTAACACAGACATGTAGTTGTTCTGCTAAGAAAAATTAGATTCCATTATCAGCAAAGCTCTGTCAAGATTGTATTCTAATTTTCTCTTAAAAGAGGTTTACAGCATGTTTGGTGGGGGCTTAACATTTCCATGCAAAATTTTGGTCTTGTAAGGGCCTGATCCTGCACCACTGGAGGTAGTGGGAGTTTTGCAGTTTGATTCAGTGGCAGCAGGACTGGAGCCTGCGCGTGTGTGGTGTTTTTTTTTCTTTTTTCTTTTTTAACCTTATTAAAATATATTAAAAATATTTCTCCATATTTTGACTTCTGTTGAAGCTAAAAGTTTCCTTGTTTGAGATGTCTCTTCCCACACATCTAGTTGTACACTGGTTTCTAGCAATAAATGTATAACTTATTGCACATATGAATATCTGACTATATGATGGATTTCTCTAGGTCTCTCTATATTTTTGTGATGTCCAGATGATATAATACTTCATTCTTATATAAGTTTTCATATGTAAATCTTTCAAAGGGCTTTGAAAAGACTTACATTCTCAGGAGATTAGATAGCTGCTTCATAAAGCCAAAATATGGTAAATAGACATTTTAAAATACATGTAAACATAGATTTACCTAACTGGCTTTAGATTTACCCAATGTGCTTGGAACCTTTTTTGATCATGTATTTCTTAACATTTGAAGTCATGAACAACTTTTAAACAGTAAAACCAAGAAAAAAATGTGAAGCTGGGAAAAGCACACTGGAGTGTAAAGGCTGATCGTTAGAAGAAGAAAAGCCAAAGGACATGTTCTCCTTTTCCAGACTATTAAAAAAAAGCAAACACCCATTCCTTTTTTAGCATATAAACAAAATGTCATTTATATTTCGATTTGTGTCCAGTTTTGCACCTCCCCCCCATTACTGATAAACTGATATCCTAGTCTTTGTAAAAGCATAGTAAACTGTAATTAATAAATAAATAAACACAAAGCAAAATTGAAATCATGATACCATCATGGTGGCAGCTGATGAATATTTTGTTACCTGATGAATATTTTGTTACATTGAAGAGTATTTATTTATTTTATTGGCTTTTCTATGGCACTTATCGCTATGGTGTCTGAGTTTATCTTCACAACGCTCCTATGAGGTTGGGAAGATGTATCTATGTTTTACAGCTAGTGTAGTTAGGCTCAGAGTGATTGAATTACCCAAAATCACATATGAAGGCTGTATCTGAACTGGGACTAGAACCCAGGTTTTTAGGGTTCTAGTCCAGTGCCTTAAGCAAAAGACTTCTTCCTCCATCCTTGCAGTCTCAAGTGCTTAACAGTGAAAAGATTCTGAAACTTAATGATGTCTCTGTTTTTTGCTTTGTTTTCTAGGGTACCCCTGAAAGTAGAACAAGCAAATAATGCACGTGATGCGTTGGCTAAAACTGTATATAGTCACCTTTTTGATCATGTGGTAAACAGAGTAAACCAGTGTTTTCCATTTGAAACCTCTTCTTTCTTCATTGGCGTTCTAGATATAGCTGGTTTTGGTAAGTGCTCTTTTTTTTTTTTTTTTTTTTTTACCAGTTTCATGTTTCCCAGATAGTTTACCTATTCTACTGCTATCAGAGATGCAGTTATTCATACATGATTTTGTGGTAGAAAGTTCTTGGATTCTCTTGTCCTTTATCATTCGTGTATGTGTACACACACTGTAGGTAGGTATAATGGTATATTAATGAGAGTGGACGCTATTCAGATTATTCTAGGATATGAAGGTATACGGGAGTTTCTCAAGATGTTAACAGAATCTCTAAATCATGAATGTGAAGCTGGACAGGTCTGTTTGTTTGAAACTGGACTTCAGAACACTGGAGTGTCTACACAGACACTACTTTTTCCTGTGTGTAGCTCTGTCCAGCCTGTGCAGTTTGAGTCCAAGAAAATTCCCAGACTAGGCCTGGCAGAATTTGATTTTTACAGTTTTGGTGGATAATATAGATGTTTGTTTTTAAGCATTATTTTCAATTTTAATTGATTTAAAGGTTCACAGATGTGGGAAGTTAGCGGGGGAGAGGTCATACAATAATTATTTAATGACAGTAGATGTTGAGAGTCAAAAAGTAAGTTTTATAACTATTAAAACAAATTGGCAACATCACATTTCAAAATATACAAAGTAAATGTCTTTAAATCATGTTCTTAAGTAGCATTTTCCTTACTTTTTCCTATGTGTAAATTTTGATTGTTATCTACAGCAGTATTTTTTCATCAATTTAACTAACGTTTACCAGTATTTACTGATAAAAATCTGATCCTTCCCAGCCTTTCCATGGACCTCTCTGGTTTTAATAGCAGCACTGACTACTCACTATTCTGGGGGGAGTCTTCCTCCTTAGAGATGTTAGTATAAAGCTATACTGAGCTGTCCAAGCCTTCCTTTTTCCTTGAGTGGGGTCTGGTTCTGGACAACCAATGAGATCACGAGCAGCACCGAATGTGCTTACAGTTTCTCATACAATCTTAGGGAGAGTGGAGTATCCTGACTGATATGCAGATGAAAAAGAGACTCAGGCCTGGTCTATAGTACAGAGTTAGGTTAACATAAAGCAGCTTACGTCAACCTAATTATGTCAGTGTACACACTACTGCCTTGTCCCGCTGATGTAAGTGCCCTACTACACCCACATAATAACTCCAGCTCCACAAGAGGCTTAGCGCTTATGTTGGTGTATTTAGGGCGATGCAGTGTCTGTGTAGACACTGCCTTACTTACATTGGCTGACCAGTTTTCTTGTCAATTTCACAGCTCCATGCTGGAGCTGTTAAATTGACAAGAAAGCCAGGTAGCTAGAGTTTGGCTCCCCCCCCCCCCAGCTCTCCATTCCCAGACGAGCTGCTACCTAGAGGCTCCCCACCCAGCAAGGTGAGAAGTCTGCATGGCTGCTCCTCCCCCCCTTCCCAGCTGGGAGCCTAGGGGGCAGCTGATCTCTCCACGGGGATCCATGAGCCCTGGCTCTCAGCCCCCCACACTTCCCCTCTTCAGTTGGTGGACACACTCTTGTTGAGGATGCACGCCACCAACAGAAGGGGAGTAGTGTGGACATCAGCCACCACAGTGATGGCCAGGGGAGTCACAGGTGGTATGGCTCTTGTAGGGCTGTGCTGTGAAGTAGCTTCAGGGTGGTAGTGTGGAGATAAGGTCCTTTTTCCGCTGCATTTTTGCTGTGTATAATAGTAATAACTTGTATTGGAGAGTGTGAGATCAAATATAACTGTCTGCACGTTGTTGGTTCCAGAAACATGAACTTTCACATCCTTTTTATTTTTGGTTTATACCCAACTTATTACAGGTACTATGAGACTCAGTAAAACCACTTCATTCAATGGATCTTTTTATGGATCCGAACAAAAGATTTGATGTGAAAATGTTAACTCTATTAAACTCCCCCCCGCCCAAACATTATATAACTAAATTCTCAGAATACTAACTTATCATAATTCAAAGCAGTTTAACATTTTGTTTTTCAGAATATTTTGAACACAACAGTTTTGAACAGTTTTGTATAAACTACTGTAATGAAAAGCTGCAGCAATTCTTCAATGAAAGGATTCTGAAAGAGGTAATTTATATCCCACTTCATGTCTGAGTAACCCACTGACTTTTCGGAAAAGAAAAGTAAGATAAGGGTATGTGAAATAGCAACGCTTTCCGTAAATTTTGTTAATTTCCTTTTTAATTACAATTAAAGAGCCTTGTGTGTCTGTTATAGTGTCGAGTCAGGTGTATATGTGAGAAGTGTAGTTTGCTCTTGGTTGAAGCATTTTTCATTTGTTGAATATGTCAGAATCTTTCCCAGTCTGAGTTGGTTGGTGCTTTGTTCATCTTCGGGAACATGCATTAAGAGCAATGCACCTCACATCTTCCTGTACTAAGCAATTATTATTATTAATTGTAGCATTTTAGCATCTAGATGCCAGAGGCAGAATAAACGTACAATGGAGACAGTCCTGGATCTGAAGAGTTTACAATCTGAGTATGAGATTATAGGCAACAGATGTGGGTTGGGGGTGGGAAGCACAAGGAAACAATGACATATCAGTCAGTTTGATAAACCGGTCACAGCACATGAAATGCCTAACCATTGTTTAGTGTAGGCTTTGTGGCAGAGAAGATTTCTACAGAGGGATCTGAAAGAGGATTACAAGGTGAAATCTAAACTGCACCATTTTTGTGGCTTTCCTTGTCTTCCCCGTGCAAAAGGAGAGAGAGTTCAGAGGCCCTTATTAAACTGCATGTGTCCCATGACTGCACAGGTTTTTTGGCACTACTCCAACTGCCCTGCTTAATTAAGAAATACTTTCTCCTCAAATTGTACTATCAAATGTGACCCATTCTCAGCAAGTAGTGCTCATGAAATCAGTATGTTTGAAACTGATCTAGGACTTAAAAGTAGTGAATAAAAACTAAAATAACACTTTTGTGTTCAGGTTGGACTTCTGCTGCATATGGAAAAGACTTTGTTGAAAACCAGTATGATTGGATAAGCTACTGGTTAAACTCTGAAAAGGGCCATTGGTACTTTGGCTGGGGCAACCTGAGAAGAGCAAGACTCAGAAACAGCTCCTTATCTTGTGTCTGCCTGTAATTTTGAAGAGCTAGGTAGGAAAGGGATAAGAGCATGAGAGGTCAAAGAGGTTTATTGTATTCCTAAAGAACAAGAGTAATGGATTGGGCAGATTGAAGAGGCTCCTCTGAACACTGGGTGAAGTGAGCCAGGGTTTTTAGAAGCTCAGGGCAAGAAAGAAGCTGGCTGCTATGGCACAGTTTCATCCCCAGGAACTAATTAACTTTAATTTTAGGACTGTGTTGACTTGAGACCTGAAAACATTTGCTACGTAAGTCACTGAAAGAGAATATCAAACTCCACCATGCAATCAGAAAAGTGACTTTGTAATCATGGTTTAAGAACTTCTGGATGAACTCCCAGATAGAGCTGTTTTCAGAAAAACTGAATCAGTGACTAAACTGTTGGAAAATCAGGTTTTCATCAGACTTGTGAGAGAGAGGATTTTTCTTGTCAGAGTACCCTTTTTCCTCAGCATGGCAGGAACATTAAGAAAATACTTCAAATTCCAAGGCCAAAAACTTTTAAAAAGTCTTGTGGTCTCTGTGATGGCATTTAATCACCTACAAAAATCCTGAGCTTTTGGAGTTCTTGGATTCTTTGTTGGATAGATGTTGTCCTGATAGTCTGAGATTGTATGGAGATAGCAGGACTTGGAGCTAATATTCTCATCAGTCTTACTAGCTGTATTTAAATTTAATTTACTTCCTTTATAAGACTCACTAAATTATTTATAGCAGTAAGCACTTTAAAAAATTTTTTTTGAAGCTAACAGTAACTAAAACTCTTTTGGGTTCGATCTGGTGGTAGCCCTTTTTTTTCTAGGAGATTGAAGTTAGAAGGGACATACAAGCTTTACTTTTGAAGGTGAGATAAGACTTTGTGAGATGGTACTTTCAGAGAACAGTTACAAATAACTAATTTTCATTACTTTATAAAGCATACTAGAAAACTAGGTAAAAGGCGAGATTATACTGAGTAGCATTTTTCTGAGCAAATGGTTATTGTACTGCAATTACCTTGAAGATATACCAAAGCCAAGCAGATTCTTTTAACTTTTTAAATGTGAAACTATTGTTTACAGTGCTTTTCTTAAAAGTTTGGATACTATTTGAGCTGCTTCACCTGTCACATTTGCTGGGTTAAAGCCTATCGTGGCCAAAGGAAAGATTGTATATTTAGCAATATGCTTAGCAGGCTATTGCAGACATAAATTTGCTAAGACAGGCCAATAATTAGGAAATAAAAAAAGCTGTTCTCTGCCTATTCATGGGAGTACTTGGAAGAATATTTAATTAAAATTACAATACATTGAAAAACAGTAATTGATGCATACTCAGAGCTTGCAAGCTTTGTGCAGATGAAAGTGGCATTTGAGTATATAATCAGATAATTTTAATAGTTTGAACTCTTTAGATTGGGTTTCATTTAGTGACTTATAATGTGAGATGGCTTTAGAGTTTACTACATTTAAATGAAATATAACATTGTGGAGAGAGGATGATTTCTCCAAAATGTATCTAAAGTTTAATTGTTTCTCTTACAAGCCCTGTCTGAATGCCACCCTCTAATTTTGTCAGAAGTAAATCAATCTGTCTGAATGTCCTTGTGGACTGGTGACATATAGGAATAGTGTTTTGCCACAAGTTTGAGGAGTTATAGGACAAGATATTTGCAAGATCAGAAGTTTGAAAACATGAGTTCATATCCCCTGAAAAGTACCTTAACTCTTTTTTCTATTTCATATTTTTAGAGCAGCTTGGCATAGAAATTCTAAACTTAATTTATTCTATTTATTCTTATTGATGACTTCAACAAGGTGAATTTTGTAGTTTCCTGAAAGGTTTACTCTGGACTTGTGGGAATTCCTGAGTACCTCAAATTCTAGAGCCTATGTGTGGAGTTTTAGATGTCTGGAGCCACTGCCTTTGAAGTTTAATTTGCATACATACTGGCTGAAAATTTTGAATTAAAGATATAAACATCCATAGGTAAGCCAATAGGCATTCTATGGAACTAATTGTATCTGGGCACCAGCTACTTTCTTGATGGATAGTTTATTCTGAGTGTCTTGCATCTTTTAAGGGTTATGATCCTTCTAATTCTATGAAAGAGATCCTAGTATTTCCTTCTCCACGTTTGCATTTACAGAGCTAGTACAGTGGATATAGGAAGGCTTATTTCTTATATCAGGAGCGGACATTAGCTTTAGAATCAAAGCAAATATATTCATACTCCTAAGCTTTGAGGTCATTCACAACTGTCTTTTTCTACTTGTCCACTCCCTTCTCTTATCACATGACCCCCACCTTCAGTTTTGCTAAAGATGCCAACCTGATCCACTAGTGGGCTGGATGGTATATGGGCTTAGATTCCCTTTATTTAGGGCAACTGTTCCTCAGGTGTTCAGTGGAGTTTCATATGTAACACCTTCTTAGACCATCCTCTAGGGTCTGTAAATGTGATTACTATGATGGGGGTCGGCTCTGGGGAGTTTCTAGGCTCCCAACCACCCTACATTTTCCTAGGATAAAATGGAGTTTCCCCTTTACACCAGGCTTTTTGCCCTTCTTTTTGTGGCTTGCACCCACTGTTCATAGGAAACAGCCAGATCCTGTACAGCTGCTTCCTGTACAGAACCTAAAGTGTTATCTCAAATGGTTTCTCTGATCTCAGAGCAAAAGCTCAGTAAATGCCCATATGCACAGGGGTCAAATAACTTGTCATAATCAGCCTCTTCCCTGTTTGCTCATCAAATCACAGATTTTACATACGGATTCTCTGTGACTCATCACCTTTTCAGAGGTTTCTAAATCTCACCCTGTACACGTTAGGGGTAATTTGAAATCTTTGCAACATAGCCTTTTAAAATTCATCATACTTCAAATCCTGTTCAGTTTCCACTTCATTAAACACATTTAATGCTTCACCCGAGAGCTTTGCAATCACTGTGGGCACTTTCTGGGCTTCTGAAATTTTATGTAATTTGCACAGTCTTTCAAAAGTACAGAAGTATTCTTCAATACAATCTGATCCTTTGTTCTCCGGGGATAATTTATCTCAGCTGGGTGTTCCTTGTGGAGAGGAAACACTTGGGACCTGTGGGATCTGTCTATGCTTTTCCTACCAGCTCAGGTTACACTGTCTTTCCTTCCCTTTTTTTGGGCTGTCCCTTTTTTCAGTTCCACGTTTCTCTAATGGGAAGCTGTCTCCTCTTCCAGGGTTTGCTGATATGCTTCTCCTTGCTGTTGTCTTTCTGCCTCCCACTGACACTCATTTCAGCTTTCCACTTCTGGTATTCACACACTCCTGTCACAGCTGCTCATTCTTTATCTTTCTGTTCAGCCTTCAGTCTGGCTATTTCTAATTTCATAAACGTTTCGCTGTTGCTCATTTTTATACTTTCTTTTGTTGCCTGAAATAAATAGAAGAAAACAAACTGTAACTGTTTTGACTGTTCCCAACCTTCTCATGTAAAATCTGCTTTATCAATGCTTGAAATGTGAACTTCAGTCAACCAGTCGGCAGTGTGTAAATCCTGTCCAGACCACACCACTGTGATGTTCTGATCAGGACTCCCAGAATTGTAAGCCACTGTCTTGCTCTTCTGCGTCAGCAAGTGAGAACTTTTCTGCTGCTAAGCTGTGTGTCAGCTCCCTGCCATTCCAGCCTGTCTGCCTTGCCAGCAAACTCCTCGAGAACCTACCAATTTAAACTATGTCTTGTAGGTAACAAGCAGTTAACCCCAGATGTCTCCCTGGGTATTTACTGGACACCCACAGAAAGTATTAAATTCAATGCTTCCTAAGAGACATAGCACACATCAGCCTGTTAGCTTAGCTGAAGACTCAAATTTTACTTCAATATAACAGCACTGAGATGGTTTATAATAAAACTAAGAATATGTTTAAATCTCTGTTCTTTGTAAATAAATGATAATAAGCAAGGGAATAAGAGACAGCTGTGGTTGCAAACAAAACATACTTTTTAGTGTCTAAAACTTAATTTTAGCAAGTTACAAACTGTTACAAGTTAGTTTCCTCTCTTACATCAAGTTACCAGCATCTCTGGTCCTCCTGGCCAAGGGATCCAGCTTTCACAGGTTCAGAGAGTGCTGTTCCCCATGTTCCCTAAATGATGAATAACTAAAATGTCTTTCTGCACCTTCTATTACCAAAAATCCATTCTCTCTGCCTCAAGAGTCGGGAAAGCAGATTCTCCCCCCCCCACCCCGTGTGCTTAATAAGTTGTCTCCTTTGCCACTCATTAGCTTGGTGGCTTTGTTTACCTTATATGTAAATATACTTTCCTTGTACTGTGCCTGTAATCAAGCCAGCCAGACATGCCAATCCACATTCCTTTGTTAGGCTTGGTGTATGCACTGCCTTTCAAACACACTTGAAGAACATATATTTCCAGCACACACACACGTAACTCTTTTTACACAGCCTGTACACAATGCTTTTTGGGAACAGTGTGTCACTAGTATGTTTCCGTATGATACCTTACATAACACCTTTTTATATGCCTCTTATGACAACTGTGTGTTGTGGGTACTGAGTGTGCCAGGCCTGATATGAGTTACATTATGGTAGGCCCTCTGCCATTTGGCATTGAGGGGCATCGAGGGCCACAACTTATTGGTTAACTTCTCATGTAATAATCTCTATGCCTTCTATCTTGATGTCCATTTTTCATGGAAAAAGAATAGATCCACAATCCTGTTTGGGCCTTCTGGTTGCTGTGTAATATAAGCACATTTGGGAAATGTTTAATGTTCCCAATTTAATTTTTCTATTTGAAAATTCAGCTAAGCCATTTAATGTCCAAGGTGTTATAGAATCATAGAATATTAGGGTTGGAAGAGACCTCAGGAGGTCATCTAGTCCAACCCCCTGCTCAAAGCAGGACCAACCCCAACTAAATCATCCCAGCCAGGGCTTTGTCAAGCCAGGCCTTAAAAACCTCTACGGATGGAGATTCTACCGTCTCCCTAGGTAATCCATTCCAGTGCGTCACCACCCTGTCCTGCAGTTATGTCTGGGTAGCATTAAAAAATCAAATTGAGTTTGGAAAAAAAGTATATTTTTTTGAAAGGTGAGGGGGAACAGGTAGGGAGGAAGGTGGAGAGGAGGAAGAATGATTGAGTCTTCATCTATTTTAGAACTTAGAAACTGCAAAAAAACCCAACAACCCTCCAAAAGCTTATAATGTTCATTTAAAAATGTTTTAAATGTTACCTTTTTTAAAAAACGAAACAAAACCTCTTCATTTTATAATCTCCATGAGACATCTACTACCACACTTTGAGTTGCTGAAGGCACAAAGGAGATATGTATCTGAGAAGTAGCTTAGTGGACAAGTAAAACACATTTTATATCTTAATGTTGTTTTCTGAAATATATTTCTGAAACTTTAAGAATTTAAAAATGTTTTGTGTGGTGCTGGTTGCACTTGGTTCTTAGAACCATTTCACATGTCATTAAGAGCCACAGCACAGGAGAAACTTTTATGATCATCAGAATGCTCAAATTAGCACTTAAAACATACTGTAAAATAAAATATCCCATGTTGAAAGTGTGAAGGAGAAAAGATCATAATTTTCTCATCAGGTTTATTGTGACATTCTAACCTGGGATTCAGAGATTTTTAGAATACTTTTGTATTCATTTTAGGAAGTCATTATTTTTAATCAAGAATATATTATTTAGACTTTTAAAAAATTCTTGCATATATGTTTGAAAGTAATCAAGTAACCCTGCTAGAAACTAGAAATAAATTAAATTTAAAGATCAGTTTTTCCTGTTAATAATTTTTACATTAATTATTTTTCACAAAGTCGGAACTCCAAATTATTCTAACATTTGAAAGTAATATTCTCAAGCCAAATATTGACATCTTACTGAAGTACTTTATCCTCATTTATCTACAATATATATTGTATTGTTAGTGTTAAGGAAATGGAATTGGAACTATATTAAGCCATATCCAAGCACTTTAAAATCTCCAGGTTGTTTGTTCATTGTCATTATAGAAGTTAAAATTGTCTCTTTTGGTTCATGGGAAAAACTGTGGTAAATGATATTTTCTCTGAAATATTTTTATTTTTTCTATTTTAGGAACAAGAACTTTACCAGAAAGAAGGTCTGGGAGTCAATGAAGTGCACTATGTAGACAATCAGGATTGTATAGGTATGTACTTGAAAACCTTGTATGCTGTTTCATTAAAGTGTTATGGTCCTGGAGCATAGTGGCTTTCAATAGAATAGACCAAAATATGTTTAGTAGTGTAGTAATTTTGTCGTATCATTGACCATCCCATCACTGGATCCTGCTGTTAGGTTTTAGTCCCTGATGCTGCAACTGTGTCTGTGTGGATGCAGAGATCTCTTCACTGATGCAGTTGCAAGACTGGGGTATATTTATTTTATTTTCTTGTGGCCATTGTTGCAGATGACCCTGCACCTCTCTAAGTACTGCCTGCTTCTGCCCATTGAGTTGTTCCTGCCCAGGGTCAAAGGGGGAGATTTCATCAGAGGCTCTGCAAGTTTGTTTTTGCAGAGAATAGACCAATAGTTCTGTCAGAAATTAATTTAGGGAAGATTCTTCTGCCCTATTGTAGCGGGGTCGTCACCCGCTCCAGCCCTGAAGGGGTTCAATCAGCCCTGGGAGAGCTAAGAGGCTAGGCTGATTGGGAGGGCAGCCTCAACTGGGACCATGCTGCAGTCAGGCCACAACTGGCCTTATATAAGGCTGTGAGCCAGGAGCTCAGGCAGAGAGTCTCTCCCTAGCTGTGGAGAAGAGACGGGCCTGGCTGCTTGAGAGCTCACCAGGGTACCTAGAATGAAGCAGAGCTGGGGAAAGGCCAGAGGAGCTGGGGAGCTCCAGGCTGGAAAACCCCTAGCCTGCAGGCCTTGCTGAAGGCCTAAAGCAGGTAGTGGGGTTGCAGAGTGGCAGCCCAAGGTTAGGCAAAGGCAGCAGGTCCAAATCCTTCTTGCCGACGAGTGGTACAGACTGCAGTCTGCCCCAGTGTGTGGGGGCTAGATGAGGACTGGCAGTAGCCGCTGAGGCAAGGTGGGGATAGAGGGTGGGGATTCCCTGGGGAGGGGAGACCGAGACTGCAGGGGTACTACAGGGGGAAGAACCCTGATGTACAGGGGCACCAGGGTCCGGGAGAGATACGGGGGCCTGAAGCAAGGGGGACACCAGCCTGCAGAGGGCTCCCCGGAGGCTGGAGAGCTAATTCCGAGGATGACCAGCGGGAGGCACCGCACTGGTGAGTCGCCGCGTTGCTACACCTGTTTATATAATAGTAACACACAGAACCCCAATCAGTAATGGAGTCTCATTGTGATAGGTGCAGATAAATATATGCTCAGACATAGTACTTGCCCTGAAGATCTTATAATCTGAGAGTGGTGAACATGTGGAATTTTCCAGGTAAATTAATCAAAACAGATAATGTGAGGTATACAGAGCAATATTTTTGTTGCGTAAGGAGATTAAAAGATCTGTGAACCAGAGATGTTTGTATATTTGGAGATAAAGGGTTCCTTCCTTTAAATTTTTTGTCCGATTTTTCCCCATACACTTGTTGCTTGAACAGGGTGAATTAAAAACAAAATAAAAATTTAGATATTGCTATTGTTTTCAGTATGTGAGAGGGTTAAAATGGTCTATCTGCTCCCAACTTCTGTTACCATAATTGGGGTTATCCAGTATGATGAAGAGAGAAACTGACTTTGACATACAATTCAGTGCAGCATTGACTGTGGTAGCTTCAGGATCTCCATTTAGGGAAGCAGTGATGATGGCAGGATACCCCATCTGGCATCAGTTGCAAAGTCGCCACTGGTGGTTCCTTCTGAGCATCTATAGATGTGTTCAGACATCTTTCCTCCTAGGCAGACAAGGACATGCATCGCTGGCTCTGCATTGGCCACTGGTAGCCATGTCAGGCAAAGATGACAGCTGGCTGCTGACAGAACAGTAGGAGATGATCCAGGGAAGAAAACCTGAAGGGTAGCAGCAAGAAAAGTGCTGTCTTGTATGAACACAAACCAGCCCCATCTGGTAGTCTGATATGCATAGACAATCCAGGAAGTTTTTGGAAAGCGTAGGAGACAATTTCCTGGCGCAAGTGCTAGAGGAGCCAACTAGGGGGGGCGCTTTTCTTGACCTGCTGCTCACAAACCGGGTAGAATTAGTGGGGGAAGCAAAAGTGGATGGGAATCTGGGAGGCAGTGACCATGAGTTGGTTGAGTTCAGGATCCTGACACAGGGAAGAAAGGTAAGCAGCACGATACGGACCCTGGACTTCAGGAAAGCAGACTTCGACTCCCTCAGGGAACGGATGGCCAGAATCCCCTGGGGGACTAACTTGAAGGGGAAAGGAGTCCAGGAGAGCTGGCTGTATTTCAAGGAATCCCTGTTGAGGTTACAGGGACAAACCATCCCAATGAGTCGAAAGAATAGTAAATATGGCAGGCGACCAGCTTGGCTTAATGGTGAAATCTTAGCGGATCTTAAACATAAAAAAGAAGCTTACAAGAAGTGGAAGGTTGGACATATGACCAGGGAAGAGTATAAAAATATTGCTCGGGCATGTAGGAATGTTATCAGGAGGGCCAAATCGCACCTGGAGCTGCAGCTAGCCAGAGATGTCAAGAGTAACAAGAAGGGTTTCTTCAGGTATGTTGGCAACAAGAAGAAAGCCAAGGAATGTGTGGGCCCCTTACTGAATGAGGGAGGCAAACTAGTGACAGAGGATGTGGAAAAAGCTAATGTACTCAATGCTTTTTTTGCCTCTGTTTTCACTAACAAGGTCAGCTCCCAGACTGCTACGCTGGGCATCACAAAATGGGGAAGAGATGGACAGCCCTCTGTGGAGATAGAGGTGGTTAGGGACTATTTAGAAAAGCTGGACGTGCACAAGTCCATGGGGCCGGATGAGTTGCATCCGAGAGTGCTGAAGGAACTGGCGGCTGTGATTGCAGAGCCATTGGCCATTATCTTTGAAAACTCGTGGCGAACCGGGGAAGTCCCGGATGACTGGAAAAAGGCTAATGTAGTGCCAATCTTTAAAAAAGGGAAGAAGGAGGATCCTGGGAACTACAGGCCAGTCAGCCTCACTTCAGTCCCTGGAAAAATCATGGAGCAGGTCCTCAAAGAATCAATCCTGAAGCACTTGCATGAGAGGAAAGTGATCAGGAACAGCCAGCATGGATTCACCAAGGGAAGGTCATGCCTGACTAATCTAATCGCCTTCTATGATGAGATTACTGGTTCTGTGGATGAAGGGAAAGCAGTGGATGTATTGTTTCTTGACTTTAGCAAAGCTTTTGACACGGTCATCCACAGTATTCTTGTCAGCAAGTTAAGGAAGTATGGGCTGGATGAATGCACTACAAGGTGGGTAGAAAGCTGGCTAGATTGTCGGGCTCAACGGGTAGTTATCAATGGCTCCATGTCTAGTTGGCAGCCGGTATCAAGTGGAGTGCCCCAAGGGTCGGTCCTGGGGCCGGTTTTGTTCAATATCTTCATAAATGATCTGGAGGATGGTGTGGATTGCACTCTCAGCAAATTTGCGGATGATACTAAACTGGGAGGAGTGGTAGATACGCTGGAGGGGAGGGATAGGATACAGAAGGACCTAGACAAATTGGAGGATTGGGCCAAAAGAAATCTGATGAGGTTCAATAAGGATAAGTGCAGGGTCCTGCACTTAGGACGGAAGAACCCAATGCACAGCTACAGACTAGGGACCGAATGGCTAGGCAGCAGTTCTGCGGAAAAGGACCTAGGGGTGACAGTGGACGAGAAGCTGGATATGAGTCAGCAGTGTGCCCTTGTTGCCAAGAAGGCCAATGGCATTTTGGGATGTATAAGTAGGGGCATAGTGAGCAGATCGAAGGACGTGATCGTTCCCCTCTATTCGACATTGGTGAGGCCTCATCTGGAGTACTGTGTCCAGTTTTGGGCCCCACACTTCAAGAAGGATGTGGATAAATTGGAGAGAGTCCAGCGAAGGGCAACAAAAATGATTAGGGGACTGGAACACATGAGTTATGAGGAGAGGCTGAGGGAGCTGGGATTGTTTAGCCTGCAGAAGAGAAGAATGAGGGGGGATTTGATAGCTGCTTTCAACTACCTGAAAGGGGGTTCCAAAGAGGATGGCTCTAGACTGTTCTCAATGGTATCAGATGACAGAACGAGGAGTAATGGTCTCAAGCTGCAGTGGGGGAGGTTTAGATTGGATATTAGGAAAAACTTTTTCACTAAGAGGGTGGTGAAACACTGGAATGCGTTACCTAAGGAGGTGGTAGAATCTCCTTCCTTAGAGGTTTTTAAGGTCAGGCTTGACAAAGCCCTGGCTGGGATGATTTAACTGGGAATTGGTCCTGCTTCGAGCAGGGGGTTGGACTAGATGACCTTCTGGGGTCCCTTCCAACCCTTATATTCTATGATTCTATATGGGTACATTTCCATTAATGTCGTCATGGCTTAAGGAGGTTCCAGTTCCTACAAAAAAAATCATTTTAAATGATTTCAGATGCCTATTTATTTTTTTTCAAATGTGCCCCAGAAGCAGAAAAGGGCTTTGTTATCTTAGTTAAATGGATGAGAAAAGACAGCAACACTGGTTTCTGTATAAATACATTTTCATTTGAGGCTTTGCTTTTTGTGTTGCTCACTGTTCAGTACTCACACATCTCAGTCTCAGATGGCTCCTTTTTTGCTTTATATTGCACCTTCCAAAATGTTCCAACTTCCAGTGACATCTGATAATTTATAATCGGTAGACTCCTTAAATATAGCGTTGATTTGATATGTCTGTATTTTGAGGGGCAGGGAATCGAATCACACTGTTCTCTGCCTCAGTGGAGATGCTACTGCCAGACACCAGATCTTGGGAATAAAGGATTCTTCTGCCTAAACCTCTGAATTTAATATGGTTTCCTATAATAGAATTAAGGCAGGGCAATAATTGCAGTGAACATCTGTAAGCAGTATTTGAATAAGGTACAGAATAAAGGTAGATTATGTTCGCTTAGGCAGTTACTTTTCAAATCATCATCATCTTTTCCTTTTTCCAAAGCCAAGGTTGGGTAGGGCCAAGGTTGGAAGCAGGTTTCACTTAAATCTGTTTTTGAGCTGCCATTTGAGCTTGTTGTTAAGGTGTTCCCTGGATG